ATTTTCAGCAGAAAATTGCTCAAACTTAGTCAGAATCATCTTGGGTAAATGAGAGTTTTACTTTGTAAAATTAGGATTCCTGCCCCATCCCCAGGGGCTAGGGCGGGGCCCCAAAGGGAACATTTACCAATATTTTCAAATTCTTATCCATTGATGACATGACAAGTATTGTATTTCACTTAGTTTACATGCTGATTTCCACATCACATCTAAACAATAAAATAAAGCTACCAGTATCTATGATATAACTCAGGTGACCGCTAAGGCCCTTGGGCCTCTTGTTCATATAACTATGATACACCTTTATACCAAACTTCAGGTAAAAATTTGGATAAATGACCGAGTAATGATGTTTTTGATTATTACGATCGACAGCTTGGCACACGTGTGTGAATAGAACTCGACAGATTGTAAAGCGTCTTCAAACAAAATCTCTAAAATTAATCTATTAAGTAAGCGACATCAGAAGATATGTTATTCATATATTTTCACATCTTGAATCCCGTCTGGTAGGGGATGCGTAAGTGTTGTGAAAGCGTAAAAAAGTTCTTCTTTTAGCGTAATTGTCATCAGGTAACTTAGTTACAACTTTTGTTGTTAAACAGGACCGTGCGTTTCGGTGCAATTCAATTCGCGCGAACACGTTTTCGCGTCACTGTTTTTTTGCGATTGCTGCGGTTTTAAGTATTGTTAACATACCATTTGTAGATATTAAAAAGTATGTTTTCTTCCACACACTTTTCCAGTCCCCTAGAAGTTTGATGATGTGATTCATCAATTCGCAATTGTTGTTTTTCCAACCTTTTGGAATTGCACAATCTCGATTCAATCACCCTGCGCTTAATCGTTGGTAAAATCTGTACTGACCAATATCTTCCTAAACGTGTTCTTTACGACTCGTCAATCTTTTGTGCAATGGTATTGAATTCTTTTATTGAATCACAATTCAATAAATCATCTTCACCAAAGATTGATGACATGATCGGGGCCTTTTCTTTATCAGTCATGCCAATTTTAACTGACAAATGTCTCGACACATTTTCCTGTATGTGTCGTGTACAGAAAGGTTTTGACTAGCGTTGTTCTGTCAAAGACTGCGCTAGTCGCCTGCTTAAACGACCCTTTTCAGGGCCACCATCTAACTCAAAAAGTCATGAGAAACTTGAAAATTATGCATCCCCTCCCACTATATTAGTTATAATAAAAAAAATATAAAGATAATTAAACACATTGTTAATCGTAATTATTCTTAGTCGGTAACAGTTAAAATCTACATTGTTCAATAAATACGATATTGTTATTCTTGACACATCTGATTAAAGGGGTATCAATGTTTATATAGCAATATATTCTAACTGTGTTACCTATGCCAGAGACGTATAACACATACACGTCTCTGCCTTTGCGAAGCCCTACGTATACCCTACGTACACATATGTGGCACAGCGTATAGCTAAATATCTGTACATCGTATGAATTGAATTCACGATAACTCAATCATTTTTCAACAAATCAAATTAAAATTTGGTATATAATTGTATCATAGTCATATGAATAACATATATCTCATGATGTCGCTTACTTTATCAATTATTTTAAGAGGTAAAGTCTGAAGACGCTTCTTGATCTATAACAGTTTTATTAACACACGTGTGCCAAGCCGACGATAGTAAAATAATAAATTCACGATAACTCAGTCAATTTTTCATATATCTAAGTGAAATTTGACTCGATAACTTTTTCAAATATCGAGCTGAAATTTGGAATACATATCAATAAAAGTCTTAACTAATAACATATCCTCTGATGTCGCTTACTTTAGCGGGTAATTGTAACGATATTATCTGGCGACGCTTTCTTCACTTTACATGCTAATACACAAATATGTGCTACGCTGCAATCGTAAAAATTCAATTCATCATAACTCAGTCATTTTATCATATATCAAATTGAAATTTGGCACAGAGGTGTATTATAGTCATATTAGCAACATATCTTCTGATGTCGCTTACTTTATTCAGTATTTTAAAAGATTTTGTCTGGCAACACTTGTTGTCACTTGAAGACGCTTGTTGTCGGTTGAAGACGCTTTTAAGTGAGACCGCAAAATGTCTAATCTACATCTAATACTCCACAGAGACCAGATTGGCTTTAATGTGGAGGAGGTTAAGTATACATGCAATATTTACAAATGTAGCTTCAGTCCTGTCTCGATCATTTCTCTAAAGGTTTTAAGCTTGAATATACCTACTCCAGTATATTGGAATACATAAAAGTTGAGGGGAAATGCAGCCACAAATATGAAATTATAACCCTTTCTATAGCAAGCCTTCAACATTTCGAGGGTCAAAAGCCATTCAAGGAGGTCATTTACATAATGTACCCCAATGCCACATACAGGGGTTAACTGGAACCCTGTACTCTTGTAAAAGATGTTGATTAATTAGGTCGCCTTACAAGAGTCAGCTGTAGGAAATTTCTTTTTAGCTCAGCGGTCGAGCAATGGGCTGGATAGTCGAGGGTCACAGGTTCGATGCCCAGCGACGGCACTATCTTTATCACTATTCCTTTATCTTAGTACTTTATGCTAAAATTTTACTGGACAGCTATATAATGGCTATAAAGTTTTACTGTGTATTTTCCATAAATATCAGCAGCGTCGTTAGGTGTTGTGGTTTGAACAGTTTATGATATGATATATATATACTGTTAGCTCTTCCTCTTGAGTACCTTAATTATAAAGTTTTTGCCATTTTTCTGTGCTTTCTACTAACAGCAGAACAGAGAAATTAAGAGAACTAAATGCTATTTTTGTGTAGCCTTAAACCTGTTTTCTTGATGTAATGCATACTTGCCAACTCTCTATTTAGGAGGGGGGTTCTCGATTTTGGACACTTGGATTAAGTATATCCAACAAGTGAAATTGCTAAACTATTCCAACATTCTAAGATCTAATTATTTCATCGGAAAGAACGACTCAAATTGAGTCATTTTAAAGGTTTATTCAGTCCCGAGGGGGTTCATCTATGATTTAAATTTTGAGCACATGGACTCTCACACGTGAAAATTTCAAAAGGTTGGCAAGTATGGTCATATGTATTCAGCTGGACTACAACTGTTTTGACTTAAGTTTGTTTCTGTTGCACAGAAAAGCAGCTCTGCCCGAGACAAGGATAAGAGTGCTAACTTACCAATAGAGTACCACTGCCCGAAGACCTCATGTCCCTATAGCCTTTCCTCACCTAGACACTTCTCCTCCATGAAGCTGCTCAAACAGGTGAGCTACCACAATGCATGATATATATTTGTTATAAGGGGTAAAAGTGTTTGAAAAGTATTGTTATTTTTCAATCTCTGTATTTTGTTAGGTCATCAACTACAGTACATTCCTGATGGGAAAATGATATGACTTTGAGCTTTTTTTTGTGGCACAGTATCTGTCGTCCATCCGATTTCTTTAATTAACTTCTTATGAATTATTGACAGGATTACCAGGTATGGTCATGATCATTGCTAGTACTAATATTAAAACCGGGCCTCCTCTGACGTCGTCAGAAAGCTACAATATTGCAGCTAGATCATGGCATGTAGCTATAGCATGGTGGGAAGACAAGCTATGATTATTTATTTTTTTCAAATTAATAACTGAAACTTTACTGTCTTCAAAAATCAAATAGGTCAAAAATGTTAAAAATCAAAAAACAAGAAGCTTTTGATAATAATATGTATATTTGACATGTAGCTTGCCAGAGTGAAGGGCTCTCAACTTTTTCAAATAACCTAGACCAACTTTGAAGTAAAATCATTGAAATTAAAAAACACATTAGGTGTAGAATACTGATATTTAGTCAGTTTAAGGTAATAGGATTGTCGCCATTTCTCAGTAGAATTTATTCAAATTTTGTAGTTATATTGCTTTGAAGTAAAGAAAATGTTCTGCCACAAAAAACATAGGTTGTAAGAATTTGAAGGATTTTAAATGGAAATTTATGTAAAAAGGAGTGAATTTTTTTTTGCAAAATAATGTCAATAAAAATGATACTAACAAAGATTAGTATTGCATTAATGTATATCCATTTCATAAATGCTGAAATTGTGTAAAATTAATTATCTATAAACGATTAAAAATTGACATTTTATAATAAAACCATATACACATAGTAATTGCATGCAAGAGTTATCATTCTTGAAAAACTTCACAGTAGTAAAATAGGTAGCCGGTTTCCTGAAGTACAGAAAAATGGACACATGTGACTCATTGATTAAAAAACAACTGAATTAATGCCTGGATTGCTTTGCAATACTTTAATATTGAAAGAACACACTGTTCTGTCAATAATAAGTATACAATATTCATCAGTTTAATATTAAACATTAGAATATGCGGAAATTGTGATACTGTCTCCCTACATTGGATTTTTCGTTTAGCAATACACTCCTATGACCTTAAAAGAAGAAATACTTTACCTTGACCCACTTATCAGGTCACAGATGTTTCAGATGTGTTTTCCAAGATCATTGGATAAGAAAGTGAGCAATGTATACAGACCTTTTTTGCCTCTTGTCAAAATTTGCAGAACACCAGCACTGTGTTAAAGTCATATTGATCAATGTTTTATCTCTTTTTTTTAATTCTTTTGTTGTTACTACTTGATGTTTTCTTATATTATTATGTAATCGCTGTATCTTATTCGATCTAATAAGAATCCGGGCACTTCAGTTGCTTATGCGTATCCCAGTTGAAACAGTTCTGGTGGCATGTACAGAAATGCTCCGGGATAAACAAAGGCTCATTGACTGGATCAGTGCCGAAAATTACGAACGTAGCCAAAATGTATACCTTGTTTTTAACAAAGGATAGATAGCTTAGTAGGATGAATAGAATACAGTATGTAGAATTTGTATTATCATGAAATGGAGTAAGGCACTCTGAAAATTTGATATATTATTTTTCCTGCATTCACGTGCCTTATTAAATCTGTCATTTTATGAGATTATCTCCCCTTATTAAATCTGTCATTTTATGAGATTATCTCCCCTTATTAAATCTGTCATTTTATGAGATTATCTTCCCTGTTTTACAGCACTACAGTAAGGTCCATGCAGAGAAGAAACACAAGTGTGAGAAGTGTGGTGCTGGGTTTGGCTTGAGCCGAGACAAAGAACGTCACGAGGTTCGATGTGGCATCGTCTACAAGTGTGGGACCTGTCAGTGTCCCTACACGACGCGCGAGGCCATGCTCACACACTGTCAGCGCAAGTCACATGACCTGCCGGCCGAGATCATCAGGGCAAGAGAGGAACAATTGACTGCACAGTCAGTATATCATCCTGTTTCCATTTTGTTGAAATGTAAAGCATGAATTAGTGATGTGCTGATGATGATCTATTATAATCCAAAATAGGTCGGTTGGCTGGCCCTTTCCGATTCTGATTATCGATTACACATTCCATAATCGGTATATGGTTGATTCATTATTGAAATAAGAGTATTTAAATGTCTTCTAGTTAAAGTATGCTTTGAAAGTCACCTATTGTCAAGATTTATACTACCGTATATGATTGATAAAAATGCATAAAAGTTGCTTGGTATACTTTCATTATGAAAGAACAAAACCAAATGTATAGTGAACAACTCTGTCTATTGATGTAATAATAGTGTTCTCACTTTATTTGGGTTTCAGTCCCATAAAATCATAAATTGATTATGCAATTGATCTTTGATCGGTTTACTACTTCGGATTACAAACCGATCATCGGTTATGGTTTTAAACTGATTGCCCATCACTAGCATAGCTTCAATCAACCTGGTATTGATTCTGAAGTTAGCTTTAAGGGCCTTCTGTAGCAGCTGTAGCCTGGCCTTATTTTGACATCTACAGAGGGGTCTTTTATGTTGAGACATTGAGCCTACAGCTAAAAGCTTAAGGGGCAAGAATAATTGCAGGTCTGATCAATGCAAAAATTTCTATTGAAATGTCCTATTTTACAGCATGCTGTATTATAACTTGTCATATTAACAATGAACAGGCAAAATAGCTACTCTTAAAGAAATAGAAAGTTTACAGCTAATTTGGGGCAAATTAGAACTGAATTTGTTTTTATTATTTGTTTTCATAAAATGTACTGGTATATGTATGAAATTGTTTGGACCAGTATATTTCTCCTCATGGCAAGTACTTCTTTTACTTGCCAATGGTCCAAATACAAGTTCTTTTCCCTGTATAAAAAAGTACAAAATGGACACAGTTTATGAAATTAAGTATTTGCAAACTATAAGTTTATATCTACAGTATCTGGAAAATTGTAAAAGTTATCACTCACCAGATACACCTTGTAGGTGAAGTATGAAGTTAATTCTTATGTATGTATTGTGTGTTTACAGAAAGATGAAGAAGTTAAAGAGACGACAGGTAGAGAACCAACTTCCTGACCCCTTCAGGGGCCACCCACCTCCGAAAGTAATCCTGGTCAACATCCAACCGACCCCACCAAGTCTTCCAACAAAGCTGTGCGCACGTGGCACAAAAGTCACACACCACAAACCCATTCTCTGCAAGCCAACTCCAAACATCAATTTGATCCCCTTAACCAGGGTCACAGTGACTCTTGACAATGTTAAAGTAAACCAGAAGAAAGATAACGCTGAACGAAATATTGCCACTGTGAACAGTTCACAAGACAAGGGAGATAATTCAAGCGATGTGCAGAGTAACAAGAGTTGTGACACGAACATTGGTCAATTCCAGATTGCAAACACTCAAACACCAGCTCCAGTGATGGAGACGGGTATGCAGACAAATGTTACGATTCCCCTCAGGAAGACGACAGGTCATCAACGGAACGCTGCACAGACACAGACAACAGGGGACCTCATATTACAGGCTGCCATGGCAACTGCCAATATTCCAATTCATAAATCGTCTGTTGGGACACAGATGACCCCAAGGTCAAAGTTAAGGGCAATCAAACAAGGCAGTGTATGTTCCAGTGAGACACAGACAGTAAATGTTCAGGCAACCGCCAGGAAACGACGACGACGTAAAGGACCGATCCTCGGGGCGCCGTTGAGAATGGACTCGACCTGCCAGACAACTGCTGGTCGGCCACTTGCTCTGGTCACCATGACTAGTGATTCAACATGTCAGGTTGAGAGCGTGGGGATGATGAGTACGTGTGTTCAGACTAACAGGATGGTCGACAACATAAGTCAGACTCAAGATGTCAACCCTGACGATGTCTCCCTGTACGCCTCTTCCACTGCACAGCAAGTAGCAAGTAACAACCAATCAAAGACGAGACCTCTGTTTGTGTCTCCCATACCAGACACCACAGACAATGGAGTTAATGATACAAGTAGACACAGAGTTACACGAAAACGGTCGAGAGCCACAGTTAATAATCAACGTAGGAAAAGTACTTCAACGGCAACAAGTTGCTCAGCAATGAAAGTGCCGAAGAAACATTCTGGCAGCATGGCTGTGCAAACTACACCAAATGCTGTTCCCAACTTTGGTCCTAGAGTTTCATTGAATACCAGTAGTAATTTAAGCCAGGGAACATCAACAGATCTAGACCTTGGAGATGAGTTTCAGAACTTTCTGATGTCCACTTGTCGAGACATTTCTGTGGGGACGGATATTGACGACACCCAGCCTACCACTGCCAGTGACGCAGTTTATACAAAACGCATGTCTACTGCAACCTTTAATGCTTTTGTAGAAGCATCAACTCAAGTCACGGATATCAGGAACCCAACAACGTCCAGTGCTACACAGTTCAACGTTACACCAACCAGTGTGTTTTGTGGAGGCACTGCAAGGAGTCATGATGCTGGTTCAATGACCTGCGACCTGCAGCAGAGCATCAGCGGGTTTGTTTCGCTGACTGACTCGGAAGTGCAGACTTTGTCGTCTGCATCTGACCTTGACACGCTGTTACAGACAGCTCAGACTAACACTGATGCCCCGGACACGCTGATGGACATGCATACTCAGACCATCAACGACTTTGATGTGTTTGACTTGTTAATGAACAACATGGAAACCCAGACAACGGATGACCTTGACCTCGATACCTTCACCTTCACGGATATACAGACTCAGACCATGTTTGATTTCCAACCAATGGAAGACCCAATGTCTATTGTGGGAGAAGAAACTCAATGCTCTTCGACACAAACCACGGCCAACAAGAAAGGCGGGATCGTTGACACGGCACACCAGAGCGAGGCTACTCAGACCTCCCAGGTCGATTCGACATCTCTCACAGACACACATACACAAACGCCCCTCCCTGGTCTCTTTTCCTTGACCGACACTCACACACAGACCACTCTTGATGACCTAGCCAATATCTTTGCCCAATTTGATTAATGTTAACTTTGACTATGTAAGTGAAATTATTTATATATTATGTTGTTGTTTAAACTTGTATTGTACAAGGGAGTTAACCCACACAAATGTAAAACTTGGGTCTGAATTTTTAATACAAGAAAGTAAAAGATTTGAATGTTAGTCTAAACTGATCAAATTGAAAATAAATTAGTCTTTTTGTTTCTGTGTGATATAATACACTCTAATTCGTTTGAGATGTAACAGGCCATTTGAATGGGAGATCAAAAGAATTTACGACAATATAACCATGATATATTAATATGGCTATTGTTACTGACGTCAATGACCGTGAAACATCATAAAATGGATTATTAATGACCTCACAAACAATAGCTTGACCTATGTAGTTCTGCCTCAGTTTGAATGTGTAAAATTGTCGTTTCTTTCCTTGGCACTGGCTGATGTGAATTAGAGTGTGAATAATGGTATATCATGATTATATTACCGCAAATATCTATTTCACTGGCTCTGCTCAAAAACCCAATTTGCGAACGTATAATAACGATATACCTCCACAAATCTAAAACTACATTGGGTTATCCCTAAGTGTTGAATCTGATAATTTTGCAAAGTAACGCACAGAAAGGTGAAATTTGGGTCTAACTTTTCTTTCAAGAGAGTGGATATTTGAGTGTTACTCAAAGGCAACAATTCATCATTTTGTTATCTATTATTTATTAGAGTATTGAAACTTTTTACATCTTTGCACCAATTTTTTCTGTTGAAATATCAGCTGACCGCTCACTTTCACTCTCTGTGAAGAGTAGCTTGGTTAGCGAAGATGATTTTCCCCATAACAGAACAGATGTTCGAGGATTAAGTTTTTGGGGATAAAAAATATCAACAGTATATATATATATATAGTGCTACCTCACCATAAAAGTTATCGCCATTCTAGAAAAACATCAGGCAGACACACAATATTGGCCTCATTTTGTATCTAAATGTTTAAAAGAAGGCCATCTTGTACAATGTTTTTTTCAACTAGAAAAGAAATGATAAAATATAGTATGGGGTGCCCCCAAAATAGTTAATTCATATGACACTGTTATTAGGTGTTACTTCAAAAATATTTGCAAAAATTGGTGACCTATAGCAGTGCAGTGGATCTTTTCATCAACAGTGCATAATGTCAATGCATGACCCATAGCTTGTTTGAAAAAGTTTGTTAAAAAAACAAATTCCATAAAAAACTTAATTTATATAATATTGTACATGGCAGAAAAAGAATAGTTTAAGATCATTCAATGATATTCAATACTCATTTTTTGTATGATTGTGTTATACATGGTCATTTTTTGTTTATCATTCTACTGCACCTTTACTTATTCACGTAGGGACCCTTTAACTCATTCACCCCTGAAATTTCAAAATGAACTATTCCATCCTTTGAACTGGAAGAGTTCAAATGTGTCTTCAGGGGTGAATGAGTTCCACACTGGTCGTGGTGTGGAAATGTTCGGGTAAGGACCCTTTAACTCATTCACCCCAAAAATTTCATAATGAACTATATATTCCAACCTTTGAATTGGAGGAGTTCAAATGTGTCTTTAGTTTAACTGATCACGGTGTGAAATTTTTCGCATTGACACTGTTTCGGAAATGTAATTATTCTACATGTATATTTCAGTATTTTATATAATCTATGAAATATATATTCATGTGTGGATATTTTTCACACAAATTTACTCAACACAAACAAATGAAAAATTCCACACCGCAAAAAATCCCACTGTTACAGATCTTTTTAAATTCAGAGAACTTATACAGAAACATAGTCTTATCTCTTGGTGGTTTTTTTACTTGTATGTATTGCAATTTATTGATATATATATATATATATATATATAAACACAGGTAACTTTTCTTGTCGCATGTATATATTTATTAGGTTATACATGTACTTTACTGTAGTTGCTTTTTTATATATTTACATACATAGATCAGACTTGTTACATTGTTATTGTCAATTTGTGATAAAGATCTTATTGTGAATTCCCTTTTCTTTTTCTTTTTGCTGTATTTATTTTAGACCGAGTTAATTGTTAAAAATTAAATTATTAACTTGAAAGCTTGTCTTATGTTCTTATGTTGTTTTTCGTAATTCTATATTATTTTATTTATTATAATTATTATGCTTATTGTACTTAAAATTATGCAAATTTTCAACTTTTATTGTTGGGAAATTTTAAGTCAAATTCTATTTCTCATTCATTATACCGTATTTGACTTCAAGTAAGCGCCAGCCCCCCCCCCAAAAAAAAACCCACCCCCACACACTTTGATAATTGCTATTTCTTTTATACATCATAAACAATTATAAATATACATGAAATGTAACGTGCTCAGAGATGAAGCCATGAGAACATCCAAGTTGGCAGACTTCCATCATGCTAAATGTTTGTGAACAAGTGGGAATTCCCGTAATTAACCCCCCTCCTCTTCGACCATTTGGTAAGCCTTTATTCACTTTGGGTGGGGACCGATTTGCAGTCAAATACGGTGAAGGTATGTCCACATGTGCGCAAACTTCCACTGTACAGTAAAACCTCGTTATAATGCCATGATTTGTCAAGAAAAAAATTGGCGTTATAAAGGGCTTTGGCAATGAATTCAGGGAAACATACGAAGGAATTCTTAGGAAAATGAGAAAAATGGACCATGAAATATATTGGCGGTAAGTGGGGTTGAAAATGAAAGGAGGGGCATAATATCGAGGTTTTAATGTAACAGTTTGACGGACACAGAAATGTCTATTTCTTAAAGTGATTTTAAGAAGTCTCAGCTCTGTGTATAGTGTATCTCCAAAGGAGGATGAGTTCCAATTCGTTTTCTGAGTGACCATATATATTCTCTCCAATTTACTATTGGAAATGGTTGTGTACAAAAAATATTTTGATTTCCTTTTTCAACAAAACACCTCCATACCTCTGGATTATAAAGCAGGGAGCACTTTCCAGTTTAGATCTACAATGTATTGCTCACTGATTAAAATGAGTGATTTTGTGAAATTACTAAGAGACATGAATTGTATCCTAGTCAGGAGAATATGCACGATTCACTGTCCTATACCGGCCATACTATTTGTTTTAAGTTTGTTTTTATTTGTGGCCAAGTGGTTAAGACATCTGACATTCTGCTACCACTAGCCCTCCACCAGTGGGTCGCGGGTCCAAGACCTACATGGGGCAGTCGCCAGGTACTGGCCATTGGTAGGTGGTTTTTCTCTGGAAACTCTGGCTTTCCTCCACCATCAAAACCTGGCACGTCCTTAAATGACCATAGCTGCTAATAGGACGTAAAACACAAACAAACCAAAAGCCGAAAATTAAATATTTTTCTGAAAAATTACTGCAGACTATTTCAGAATGAATTATCTCTGCAACTCATATTCCAATTATATGCAAATACCTGGGATATAGAAAACTTTTTTGAAAAAGAGCTTACTGGTAACTTTGTAATGCCTATACACAAAAAAAGAATTGATGGGACTTTCTATAATGTACCTTACAAGCTATTTCAATGATAAATTTCAACAACAAAAAAAGAAACAGATTCATTTATGTTAAAAACATGGTTTATTGTCATAAATCAATAAAGTAATCTGATATATCAAGAAGTGAATTTTACAGAAGTCTCATACAAACTTTGCAGTTTGACTTATTGACTCATTCACCCCTGAAACTTCATAATGAAACATTCTAACCTTTGAATTGGAAGAGTTCAAGTGCGTTTTCAGGGGTAATTGAGTTCAATACTAGTGTGCTATACCCTGAGCATGGATCTAATGCAGTGTTATTTCCGCATTTATGTGGAAAATTATCAACTTGAGAAATGTTGGATTTGTGGTTCTAAAGATGGCCTGATCTGTATAGTTATTCCTTGACTGCAACTGTTAAATTCACATTTCCGCGGTAGTAACACTCCAATAATCCGGTAATACAAAAGTGCATTTAAAAACAAAAATAGACTTTTTTTTTAATACAAAAGTGCATTAAAAACAAAAATATACTTCGCTTCCGATTCCGACTGCAGTAATAATTAAAATTGTACACATCAGCCTGATCAACGGTTTCTTCCCGAAGAGAAGTCTGAAGTAAGAACATATTATCTGTGAAACCACTTTATACCCTAGTACATGTACATATGTGCTTGTGTCAAAACACTGGTTTCACCTTCTCTCTAAATCGGACAAAAAGACAGCTCAGAGGAAGACGTAAAATGCATTTGAAAATAGTATCTTGTCTAATAAATCAGTAAGGTGCCCTCTTGGGAAAATATTTTCCTTAACATTAGTTTAACAAACGTTTATAACTGTAAATGTACATATTTTAGCAGCATTCAAATTTTAGAAATTTCCATACGCTGATCACTGTGCTAATTCATGATTGCACCTATTGGGTTTCTGTTGAGTTTTCAATAGCATTCATTGTCAGTGTGCCAATTCAATGATACGCTAATCTGTTATAATTCAACAACACAGCATTACGCTGAAAAATTGTGTCAGCTGAAATAAGTACTCTTAACAGTTCTTTGTTAACTAATGTCGGATCTTATGATAAATTTGCCCCAGTTACAGAAGGGGGACAAAGGCGAAAGTTGAAATGTGGCGAAAATTTCCTGGTATATCGTACCTTCGCTTGAAATTGGTGATGCCCAACTTCACCGAACACTTACGAGCCACAACTGGTCAAAATGAACCAGGTACACAGGTTAGATTAACATAGAAACGTTACTATTAGACCAAAATATTAAGGTCACTTTGTTAAGGTTTCCTATTAAAATGCTCATTACTCTGAACTATCCCTAAAAAAAATCATAGAATTTTTTCAATAGAATGTCACCCTGGTAAAATGCTAGCCGCTTCCTACTGACTCGGCTAGGGAGAATTTCCCTTTAGCTCATTTGGTAGAGCATAAGACTAGTAAGCCAGAGGTCCCGGATTCGACTCCTACCAGAGGCATTGTAGATAGTAAATGCATATATTTGAGTGGTATACTGTAAGTTCAGCACTTATCCCCCTTTTCATAATTGTGCTAAAATTGAGCACAATATGAAAAGGGGGATAAGTGCTAAAATTACACATAAACTTCAATTGGTGCAATCATCACTTCTCTGTATATATAATTGCCTACAGCATGCATTGTGAGTGTGCTAATTCATCAATGCACTTATCTGTTAAATTCCATAATACACCAAAATTTGAGTCCACTAAAATAAGAACTTTTACAGTACCTGGTAATTCATAATTTAATACCTTGATATTACGGTATCTGTATTTTATTTTGAGCAAGCAATTGAAAAATTTTGAGTAGACTACAGAAGAACTACAACCAAATTTAACATTATATACATAACAATATGGTACACAGTGTCTAGAGTGGACTTGGTATTTTGTCTGGCTTGGTAGTGTCAATGTCTGGAGCGCTTTCACTGGTTGTCCGCGAGGCCCCTCTCTGTTTGTATTTCGGACTGTTGGATTTTACCGGCAAAACTCCCCGGTCGACCATGTCACAGATCTGTGCTACGAGTGAATTGAATGGTCCTGGTTGGTCGGCATAAACATGGTGACCCGCCCCCTTCACCACCTGTTTGAAACAGACATCACTACAGTTAGAACAACAGAATTATACACGGTGATACACCTAAACAAACGTCATTTATGAAGTCTTAAAAACAAAATACACGACACACATTTTTCCTACAGCCTCATTAGTTGGATCATAATCACATGGATGTTGGTGATTTGGGGCATTGACTTGGTGTTACTATTTTTAGAAACAGGTTAAAATTCACTTCCTGACATTTCAATCGTAACATTAAATGTTCTCTGCCAAATGTAGTACTTTCCTCCATTCAATTCCTTTCTTGTTAAATGATTAAAACTACATCTAATATAACAATTAAGGACTTTTATTTCACTGAATATGTGTTTCTATTGACCTGTTGAAGTGATGTCGACCTCAACTTCATCTCGGTCAATATTGCTTTCTTTGGTCTATAAAACCACATATTCACCTCAACAAAAGTCCATATAATATACAGTGTATCAATATTAGTGAGATTTAACTTGCTCTAGTACATCCTATTCAAATATCCCTGTGCACAACATTAAGCAGAACGCTGGAGACAGTTTAAACAAACACTTTAAGAAATAATAAACCTGAATTAATTAGCAAATTATAAACGAATGCCTAACATCTAAGTTGGTAAACACATTTGGAGCATGCATGGGGAAGGAGTGGGGGTGGTGGTGGTTTTAAAACTTTTCTATTCTTAAATGTTTTGGCAGCCTAATCGGACACCAAGGTAGAACCCAGAATTATGAATGGACCGAAACATATATCAGCACATTGTGAAGGCCATGAGAGGAACATTGTACAATTTTTAACCGAAATTCCGCAAATTTCACCTGTACGTCTACGTAGCTGGTGTTCCGTAGATACTTGACAAGATTCCCAGTGTTACTGTCCATCCATGATTTGGCTCCGTAGACCATCGTGATCGGGACGTGGTTCGCGATGTCAGTAACCCTGTGGATCATGGGTCTCTTGGCCCAGCCAATTCCCATTGTCATGTTCTTGAAGGCTGTCTCTCCACTAGTTATGTAATAAATGATAAAAAACGTTGCTTTTACCAACAACCATTCTTCCTATCAAACTGTACTAATTTAGCACATTATATACCAAATTATAAAGGATATATAATGGTTTCCCATTGAACACCATATAAATTTCATGATTTGACAGAAAACAAATACTTTTCAAAGGTGCAAAGCACGAGTGAAAGTATTGGTATGTAGCGGAACTACACTGGGTTGATCATCGGCAACCAGGCAGCTCAATTGGTTGAACGATGGTCTAGAGTTCTGAGGACCCAGGGTTTGAACCCCGGTCTGGCCATGCAATTTTTCAACTCCTACTACAGGTATATTCTGCCATACGAGTGAAATAAATATGGCATTCAACCAGGAAAACCAGGACATTTAATTTTCTAGTTATTACATTTTAAAACTACCTCTAATGAAAACAAGAGGCCCAAGGGCCTTAGCGGTCACCTTAGTTATATCATAGGTACTGGTAGCTTTATTTTATTGTTTAGATGTGATGTGGAAATCAGCATGTAAACTAAGTGAAATACAATACTTGTCATGTCATCAAAGGATAAGAATTTTAAAATATTGGTAAATGTTCCCTTTGGCGCCCCGCCCTAGCCCCTGAAAATATACCTAAAAGGGGGAACGGATGGCTCAGGGACCTGAAACTGACAATTTCAATAAAGCTCCTGATGATCTTTCTATCCATGCACTGAAATTGACTGTAGTACCTCTGAGTCTGGAGAAGATGATTTTTGAAATATTGGTAAATTTTCCCTATGGGGCCCGCCCTGGCCCCTAGAGTTGGGGTAGGAATCCCGATTTTACATTTTAAAACCATCTTCCTACAAAGATAATTCTCACCAAGTAAGAATAATTTCCTACAGAAAATTGTAAAAATATACACAAAAGTGTTATTTCCCTATATTAACTATAGTAAACTTTACCCCCTCCCACAGGGAGAATGGATGGTCCAGGGGTTCCTGAAATTTACAATTTAAATAAAGCCCCTGATGATCTTTCCATCCATACAGAGAAAATTACTGTACCTCTGAGTCTGGAGAAGATGATTTTTGAAATACTGGTTAATTTTCCCTTTTGGACCCCACCCTTGCCCCAGTGGTTGGGGTAGGAATCCCAATTTTACAATGTTGTAACCTCATCTACTAAGGATGATTCTGACCAAGTTTGAAAAAATTCCATCAAATGGTTCTTGAGAAGAAGTTGAAAATGTAAAAAGTTTATGCACAACAGACGACACACAAAGTGATCGGAATAGGTCACTTAAGCAAAGCTCAGGTGACCTAAAAATGTTACTACATCAAAACAGCTGGGGATATAATAGCGTAATATTTGGCACCATATTCTAATGGCAGAACAATGCTTGAATGAAGTAAAAACACAGTACCATTCTGATTGGTCCAAAAGTGATAAAGCATAGTCTCCTTATTTTTTAAAATTTTATTTTACCTACCCTGAACTATGTACATTTATATAACATTGATAATGACAGCAAATCTTAATAACAATAATGTTTGAAGGGAAAAATTAACACTGATAAAGTGTAAATTTATTAGTAAATTGTATTTTGGTGTACGCAACTTTAGCCTTTGCCAAGGCAGTTAGAGTTAGCTCCCTTAGCTCCCCATGCTAGTTCCGGTCTTTTAACAGCATTAGCAGAGCAAGATGGCAGTAGCCTCACAGTGCTTTATATAAATATAAAATCCAGCGACATCTCGATGAACGCTTACAATCTCAGAGAGCGATCAAGCTCACTAATGACATTCCTCCAAAATGGTGACAGCGAGGAGACCGATGATAATGTACATCGGAAAGAAAATGCTTCTCAATCTAGTGACGAACATCAGGGTGATGATGGCCGGCATGGTGCCTGTGGAGGCCCACCACCATCAGCGATGAGTGACAAACCAGAAGCCGAGCTCGAAAAGGAACTCGATAGTTTAAAAGCGGAGTTAAGAAAAGGGGCTCTCTGCAAGGAGATCGAATATTGTCGGCGGAAAATTTATGAACAAAATCGCCCCTTCGTCTCCGCCCCTCCACGTGATCGCCAGGAGGGTGGGTCATCAACAGAGAGAGAAAGACCCAGCACTTCAGGTATGAACAATTTAATTGACTTAAATTTCCAGACACTGCTGCAGAATGTGAACAATACAAAAAAGTCTAAACCCCGCCTTGTACACAATTATCTTTGGCGCGATCCCACATTGATAGACGAGGACGAAATCGTCACGTTCACCACCACAGGGGTCAAAGTAAACCGTAAAATGGACAAAGATTACTACAAAATCAGCGTTGAACAATGGGGCTATGGTAATAGCAGAATTTTAGAAGAAATGATCGAGGCAAACGAGGTGGATGTTCGTGGTATCCGTGACTACCTGGATTATACAAAAACGATAAATCGACTCTTCAGCAAGTATGTGCGCGGCAGTGTTATGCTGTATGACCGGGAATATCGGGAGGCCCAACATAGTGAAGGTTTTCGATGGGGAACGCCACAAACCGCGATACAGAACTTTCAACTTGTACCTAAGCCACCCCAAAATTGTGACAGCGAGGAGACCGATGATAATGTACATCGGAAAGAAAATGCTTCTCAATCTAGTGACGAACATCAGGGTGATGATGGCCGGCATGGTGCCTGTGGAGGCCCACCGCCATCAGCGATGAGTGACAAAAATCCATTGGTTATTGGACAAGCGATGCTGTGTTTAGATACATAGAAACAGATTTTTCGCAAAAATTGATAACGGCAATAAGGCATCAATGTCCAGAAATTGCAAGGGAAAGGGACTTTTTGTGCGAGTCCAAGACTTTTTTTTTTCTTTTTTTTTTTTTTATATTACAACAATAACGACCCCCTTAAATAGTTTTCTCCTAACTACAAGAACTGATTGGGTTGGGGATATTTTTTCATGATTTTTGTTAACTTTATTGTTTGAAAAGAAATAATTATTGTTAATGTTAATTGTGGTTGGGATAACCAAGTGAATAAATTTCTGCCCTGTTAACGTTTGTATTTGTTGATGTTTTCCACAAACTTTAGCTAGTGGAGGTTGAACCAAAATATTAATTTCACATTGTTCCAGTAAAGGGCAAATACAGGTATGTGACTGGGTGAATATGTACATTTCCTGGCAAAAAGGTCTTGGCTTACCTGGGAGTTTGTGCATTGCAGTGGTAAATATAGTCAAATATGGTATCATCATCATCCGAAAATCTGAGTTTTAAATCAGGCCGAAAGTTCCTAACAAGACTTTTACCTGGAAAAAAAAATCTATAATTATCAATAAGTAAATTATCAAGTGTTGAAATGTAATGCTTTGCCAATAACAAATTTAAATGTATGCAGATCTTATTTTTCAACATGACAGTAATTCAATGAGAGGAAATTAGGATGAATAAAAGGGCTGATTTTAATGTCATTAAATGTCATTTTTTTTTATCTTTACAAGCTTATCAGAAAAGGTAACAAAATAATCGTGAAAAAAAAATCTTCTTCATCAGAGATGGGTTGAATGGACCATAGACCTGTAAGTTAAACATATACATACATGTATACAAAAGTTGTCATCAAATGATTCAGTCAATAAAATCTGAAGTCTCATGATCAGTTTGGGCCAGCTTGTGAGACCAGAAGTGTTGTTTGATACTTTGATGTACCCGGTACATCAAAAGAATCTGTTGGTCGCGTGACAGTAACACTGACTTGCTTTGAAGTTGGGTGCCCTCCTCTTAAAGAGGACATGTATCAGTCTAGCGGTTGGTCAGATTTATTTTTACCCGACACCAATCAAATGGCTATAGCCGCTAGCTAATTTTGCTAGGACATATTCCAGGTGTGTAGAGAGTGAAAATGAGCATAACACCTGGCCCATATTCATGAAACCATTCTCATGCTCAAGTATGGATTTTGTGCTCAGGCCTAATTTCTTGTTCTTTTATAACTTAATGAATAAATCTTATTTTGTCAATGATTTGGAAACATTTTGAAGAAACTTAAAGCCAAATACTGTTTTCAATATTTACATTTGACTTTGTGATCATTTGACATTATCTAAGCGGGTTGCAAAAAAGAGGGTTTGAGCACAGAAATTGTGCTTGAGCATGAAAACGGTTTCATGAATACGGGCCCAGGAGTATCAAGGATGCTACATACCCAGAGGACCAGCTCCACGTATAGGGGCTAGTGGATTGAATGGAGACATTAGCGCTACAGAAACTTTGATCCAGAATGGAAGCTGCCGTCTTAGGTGTTTTGGAGGCTGCTCAGGAAAACCCCAAGGGTCAACCAGCACCAAATGTTTAACGCATTCCGGGTGTTTGATCGCAAACGAAGATGCTATATAACCGCCAAAACTGTGTCCAACTAGAATAAAACTGTCAAGTTTCATTTCTTTTCGCCATTCTTCCACGGAATCAACAAACTGCATCTCTGCCATGGTAGCATTCTTGCTGAAGGTGGGTCTGGCACTGTGACCGAAACCCAGCACGTCAAACGCATACACAGGTGCATTCTTGCCTAAAGAGTTCAAGTTTTGAGCCCAGAGACCTAAGCCACCCCCGAAACCATGCACAAGAACGATGGGGGTGGTTGGGCTCTTGTCAGTCCTCACAAAATCCTCATTGACTGCAATGGTCCAAATCCTCTGCTGACTTCGAGGTAACAGGACAAATTTCCCAGTAATTGCATGTTTCACACCTACAAAAGATATTTACAAGTTAAATTGTAACCTTGCAAATGTAATAGGAGCAGAGAAATGTACAACCAGACCAGAGTTCGAACCCAGGACCATTCAAACTCTAGACTGACGCTCTACCAATCGAGCTACCTTGCCACTGGCGATCGACCCAGTCCAGTTCCGCTACACAAAAACCAAAACTAATAAATATTCAATGCAGAAACTTTTATCTATAACATATTAGCTTTTAACTGAATTTCTTTGTAAATTGTAAGCTTTAAATAAATTGTTGAATCATGCTTTAACTCATTCACCCCTGCAACCTCATAATGAACTAGTCCACCCTTTGAATTGGAAGGGTTAAAATGTGTCTTCAGGGGTGAATGAGTTAAAGTAAAGTTAAACTGATCCAGATAATAATAACAGCATGTAATCAGCTTAAGTACTATTTACCTGATGAGGTGCAAACTACATGTACAAAAGTTTAAAAATTCTGAAAAATCATAAATTGTCTCTTTCATCAAACCCAAAATATTTTTTTTATCTAAATTACTTATACTTGTACAAATTACATACTAATATTCTAACATGCATGTCAACTATCCCTTTTTGCGACATCCTGACAATACTCCAGGGGTTTCACTCACCTACGCTCTCTGCACCTCTGGAATATGTCATAAAGCAAAATTGAAGTCACGCACCTATATTTGATTGGTCTCAGGTTAAACAAACCTGACCAATTGCTAAGCCTATACCATTAAATTTTAATTTACTGTCACGCATACACAGCAGCATTCATTTTATAAATATCAAGGATCCAACTAGTCTTTTCGTCTCAACCACAAGGTGGCGCATACTGAGCCTTCAATTTTGCTTTGTCATATCCCAGGGGTGCAGAGCATTTAAGTGAGCAAAACCCCTAGAATATCAAGGAAGTCTTTGAGAGGGATTGTCCCTCTCAACCTCAATATTTGCCATTTGATCCATCCAAAGGCATATAGGGCCCAGTCTGGTCCCCTATCTTGTAATTCTGACCAGATTTGTCCTTCTATGCAGACAAAGGTCCCTCTTAGAGGACAATGCCATCTTTGTATAGTTTATAATGCAAATTATACTATAAATAACTTTCAACAACACCTCATAAAGAGGTAAGAATGTCAGTCAGACCTGAACTTATTAACTCATCCACCCCTGAAGACACATAGGAACTCCTCAAATTCAAAGGTTGGAATTGTTCATTATGAAAATTCAGGGGTGAATGATTTAATTACCTCTAATTAACCTTAGAACCCCTGACTATGGATCACTGGTTGAATAGACAGGATAATATAGCTTATGAGTGCCACTGGAAGTGCAACTATATGATGATGTGAATTTAACTGTTCAAAATAATATAGGATTATAATTTAGTTGATAAAACAAAGTTTCATCCCAACACGGAACTGAGAAAGTCTCTAGAAAAGTTCCGTCTTGGGGAATTTGCTCAAAGGGACAAATTCATCTGAGGATGTGTAACATCAAATTTTACTTTATTCACAAATAATGACAAGTTTTGTACATTGTTTGTGCATAAACGATAAAATATACTTTGATATGACGTATTTCCAAACTGATGAATTTTATCGAAGACACAACATCTGAGGATGCATGGTCCAGAGGTTAAAACTTACATGTACATTAATGTATGTTCTAATAAAGTTTTTCAAATTAACAAAAAATAAAAACAAATTTGTATGTTATAGTGAAAAATACAAGATACTTACACTGCAAAAGTTTATTTTCTGCCTGAGCAAGTTGAGCCATTGATGTTGGTTTCCATGATATCCAGTTACTTGGAGCAAACCATCCTAACCTGAAACACACACATATATATATATATGTGTACCTACATTAATATAGCATCAAAGGTGAGGGTGGGGATTGGGATGCAGGGAACTCATAATCTCAGACTCAAAAATAGGGGGCTGGGCTTAGTATTTGTTGGGCCTATTAACAGAATCATATGGTACAGCATTATAATGAATTTTATTCAACCCATCCTCAAGACTCTAGGGTTAACGCTCACTTGCGCTTTCTGCACCACTGGGATATGTCATAGCAAAATTGAAGGCATGAAAATAGTTATTTGATAGGTCTTAAGGTAAAGAAACCGGACCAATTCCTAGGCTGATATATATATATATATACCTGCATGTCCTTTAATTTGCAGATAACAGAGGAGCGACACCCGACTTTAAAGCCAGTCAATTTTACCTAGACGCCCGTGAGATTCTTTTGATGTAGGATGAAGGATGAAACTAGTATTCTTGTCTCGTCTCATTCAAAAAGTGGCACACACGTGCACTGAGCCTTCGATTTTGTCATGACATATTAGGGGTGCAGAGAGCGGAAGTGAGCGTAACCCCTAGAGTATCTGGGGAAAACAAAGAACAATGTTTCCCTGCCACAACACAATAAATGTATATCATCATTAAAATAACTAAAATTTCATTTGATCGATCGCTGGTGACCAGGCATCCTCAAGCTTGATACCCCAGGGTTTACGCTCACTTACACTCTCCACAATAAGTGAGCATGTACCCCTGGAGTATTGATGATGGCAAACAGGTATCTCAATAGTTACAGCATTTGTCTAGTGTTTGGAGGGATCTTGGTTCGAATACAAGTCTGGCCGAGCATTTTTCTCTCCTGTTAAATTTAGCACCCACCTAAATATACCCACAGAACGGGTGATATTGCATGTCATGTTTATTAAGGGTCAAAGACTTTGATAGAACGGAGGTATGTAGCGGAACTGCATGAACGTTGTCGATTGCCATTTGAGGTAGCTCAATTGGTAGAGGGTCTGTCTAAAGTTGGAGGGTCCCAGGTTTGAATCCAGGTCAGGCTGTGCATTTTCCCTCTCCAGGTTCCTAGTCGGATGCTCTACCACTGAGCTAGAAGGCGACCTTAATCCTATGTACAATTAAAACCTGCCACACAATAATAACATATACATGGATATATGCTGTTATTGATAATAATTATAAGTTTCTGTGATAATTAAACACTGGAACAAATGTATCTGATTTTGAGCAAAGTAGATATGTAACTTATAAAGAAACATTGAAATATTACTTTTCAGAATGTTTTAAAAATCTGCTGGATATATGTACATGTACATGCAAGTGGTGATAATGATCTGCATGCACTTTTGGTATTTTGGGTAGGTAGAAAACTTTCAACAAAAAGACCTCAAAGACAGGCTGACCTATATATATATATGCCCGACTTCTATAGCTACAGTTCGTCTGCTGGATAACCGATACACCCGGTAGTGAAGCGGACGTAAAACCTATCAATCAATCAATCAATCAACTATAGCTACAGTTAAATTAGGACACAGGTACTAGCCTCATCTGTCATTACACCCATGATTAGTATTATGGGTGTATTGACAGACGAGGCTAGCACCTGTGTTAGGATGACCTGACACAATGACCTACAAAATGACCCAGTAAGATTAGAACGTCACGACCTCATTCCACTAAATAAACCGCTATGTCAACACTGACCCGGCTCCCCCCTTAGCTACCGTGTGTAGGCTAATTCCATAACTGGAATTAATGGACTAGGTCTGTATTATCATTCAACATTGAAAACCCATATCATCACCTTCTACCATGTCATGAAACAATGACGTCAATCGTACAACATCAACAGTGCATCGCTATTTTTAGCTATTGTTTACATTATAAACTTAAAGATTGCGAGGGTAAAGTTTGTCTTGAAGCTGTTAAATTAGTAATGGCGTTGGTGTAGCCTGGGTGGGTATATACTCACAGCAAACCGAGGGTGTGCATCAGCGCGTCTACGTAAGATCGAATAACTGTGGCCAAAAACCTACAGGGCATCATCACCGGGGGACATCACCGCATATCGTCCTCCTTTTCTAACCATGAACTAATAATGATAGGACGGATTTCTTCGTTGCTTATGGTGTACAATTCAGAGTGGTTCCGATCGGATAAATTAACCTTAATAATACGTGCGGTGATCTATGAACGGTCTTGTTACACGTTGTGAATGAAACGTAAACAATGCGTCAAATGCGTATACTAAACTAGTTGGTCGGGTATGTGATTTATCATCATGAACTGGATGGGCCTACTGTACTACGACGTACGTATACGTATAACGTATAGTACAGTAGGCCAATCGGGTTCTTTCCAAGTACGCTTGTACTGAGAAATATTTCGTAGTTTTCTGTTTGTAAATGGATATAATTTAAAGTAACTTTATCAACATAAATCAGTGGCGTACTGTAACTGTTAGGTGGGGCAGATATATTATGTAATAACTTGTAGAGGATTATTTAATGGTGTCTTCAGTATTAATAATAACAAATATATTTCACGAGTGTGACTAATATTTTGATATTTTTCTCGAGTGCGCAGCAAAATAAATGTCAAAATACTAGCCACCCTAGTGAAATATATTTGTTATAACTGAAGACACCATTCATATTTTCTATTTATTACATTTTTAAGGTATAAAACATGAAAAATGTTATGCATTAAAAACGCACGAGTGAAAAATATAAAAATAGTATAGCCACCCTCGTGAAATATATTTGGTATAACTGAAGACACCATTAAATTTGCTATTTATTACATTTTTAAAGTATAAAACATGAAAAATGTAATGTAGGGTGGGAACAGAGACGATTAATACACGTCTCTGGTGGGAATCAGAAGCGTAATAATTAGCGCCATATTCTAATGACGTCACGCTTGACAATTAAGGCTGCGCGCCATTTTTAATGGGATACTCAACGTAATTCCGACGTTTTCTGCTATTTTCTGGTATGATTGCTCATACAAAATGTTATTAATTGTATATTTATGTAAACTTAAATGCGTGTACCAAACATTTACCATAACAACCACTTATTCTACAATCCCTTCATTATGTTTCCCCTTCGAATAAAGGGAGACATATATTGTATTTGTACTGGATCTTCTTCTTCTGTCCGGGCCATAACTTTTCAACAATTAAAGATATCTTGATGAAACTTAAGATATGCATGCATAAGATGACCACTCACAGAAGGTGCATGTGCAGTGGACTGGAATTAGGTCATTGTGACCTTCAAACTTGAAGTATACCTGCATCACCCAGAGAATGTGTGCAGTGCACTGGAATTATGTCTCATGTTTCACTATACACAGAGTTATCACCCTTTGTTTAATTTTAATACCGAATTAGTTTGTCCGGAGCATAAGTTCCATGTTATTACACCTACAATGACCAATCTTACCATATTTATGTATCATGGGAAGGCGGAATCTCTCGCACTAAAATCAGGTTGTGTGCCCCACTATATACAGAGTTATGGCCCTTTGTTTTATTTTTAATACCGAAGTTTGTCCATGGTATAACTTCTAAACCATTAAAGATATTTTAATCAAACGTGAACTTTACCTGCAACACCCACAGAAGGTGTGCAGTGCACTGGAACTAGGTCTTGTGCTCAACTATATACAGAGTTATGGCCCTTTGTTTATTTTTAATACCGAAGTTTGTCCAGAGCATAAGTTCCATGTTATTTCACCTACGTTGACAAAACTTTTAAGTATCTTGGGAAGGTGGAATCTCTCGCACTAAAATCAGGTTTTGTGTCCTACTATATACAGAGTTATATCCCTTTGATTATTTCTAATACCAAAGTTTGTCCACGGCATAACTTCCATATTATTTCACCTACGTTGACCAAACTTGCTATAGTTTTAATGTATCTTGGGAAGTAGGAGAGTCGCATTCTGAATTCGGGTCTCGTGCCCCAGTATATACCGAAGTTTGTCTATTGGTTAATAAGGGGAGACATATGTTTTTGTTCACAAAAACAAAATACTAGTTTCAATCTGCATTTGAATCTGAACTAAAAAATCGTTGCCATTGGATGCAGCGAATGGAAGATACCGTTATAATTGGTCAATATCAAAAAGTGATATTTTTTGAAAATATCACTTTTGATATTTGTCACAGTGTGAAAGATATCAGTTTTATCAAGTTGATAGAATCCGATATTTCACTGGCAAAAATGTAATAAATACGTCTCTGACGTGGGTAGGCACTTGGACAAAAGGCTGGTAAGCCTGCTCTCCGAACCACGAGGTGCTACGGTGGCGATCCGAAGGGTCCGGTTAATCCCGTTGCATACGGCAATTAGATTCTTCTTTCCCTATTCTTCTTTTTATAATTAAAACATGTTCTGTAGTTTAGTTCTTTTTAAGGTAATTACGCTTTTAGCTTACCTGACAAGAAGTAGTGGCAGGTGATCCTGATTGATCCTATGTTCTGGTGTGTTGTCCGGCGTACGCGTCCGTCAACTTTTCAGGGGTCAAACAACTTTTGAATATTCAGGAGGCCCAGGGTAATACAACAAGGCCAGTAGGTATCTGGCATGAAGTGCTGTATATATATATTTCCTCAAATAAATGACCTTGACCTACCTTAAAGATCACAAGGGTCAAGTGTGTTTAAAACCTTTAAACAACTTCTTTTGAATAACTAGGAGGCCCAGAGTACTGATACTTGCCCAGTAATTACCTGGGACAAAGTGTTATAAAGTTTCCCCCAATAAATTATCTTTACCTACTTTCAAGGGTAAAAAAACACCCGACATGTTGACACCGAAGGTAGGGGATGTCTTGATGTTACTACCAAGAACAGGAAAGTTCTGTATAGGAAAATTGAAATTGTGTCGCTTATCGTACAGTTTAGAAGAAAAAAAACCCGTTCCAATGTTCGCTTTGGTTTAGCTGTCTGAGTAAGTGAGCCCATCCACGTTCTTAAGGACGCATAAAGACATACACATATCCAGCGCAAGTATCGATATAAAAATATCTGTATAAAAATAAAAACGATAATAGACCTAAGCTATTTACAACAAATAGTTTGACCACCGTGCCATTCTCTCTTGCAAACGGAAATGACTCCCTACATTTACTAACTGATTTAAACAAAAAGTGTGGCATCCTTGTCCCTGTTTCGACCTAAACATGACCAATAGTAAAATCAGAAGTAAGATTTTCTATTTCCGCAAATTTAGATCTCTCATTTGGAACTAGTATATCTATCCTCGTGTCCATAATCTGAAAAAATATCTTCGATATGTGCCGAACATCACTTTTTACAGGCCATCAAAATTGCTTCTTTGATCAATCCTCCATACCCCAGGGGTTACGCTCACTTTCACATTTACTTCCGAAAAACCGATGACGTCAACAAATTTGCGGTATGCGCGCTGCGATGCGCAAAAAAAAGGAGTCATATTCAGTATAGAATAACTGGACCTCTAACAATACCCAAGTCGATTTAACCATAATATCTGTGGAAACATTTTCTGTTTTATAATTTCTGACATGTTTCTCGTTTCCGTCTCCTGCCCAATAAATCACAACCTTTCCCGGTCCCCCTGACGGTGGCGTCCATACCGTTTGACTCAAAGCTCACGGTATCCATTCCCGTTCCCCGTCTCTCATCGGACCGCTGTCCGCCACTCTCTGAAAGACAAGATTTCTTGGGATACTTACATCTGAATATTTATGCTAAACTCTCCGAAACGGTTAGGATCCGGAAATATGGTTTAGTTCCAGGATTGTTCCCGTTGTATGTGTGACGTTTTTCATGACGTCATCAGTTAACTTCAAATACGTCAGCAACGTCATAGGCAACATGTGTATAGAGTTTTTAGTCCCTTCATGATCAGTTGACTTGCATCTCCGCTCACTCATGAATATATTCGTCCGCGCAATAAATGAGTGCTTTCTGATTCGTTAGAAAAATACAAGTGTGCAGTCTTGCATGTGTATAGTATAGGGTGGAGATCTCCACCTCGGGAGTCAACCCCTCCATGTGTACAAGTTTTAACCCCCAATATGTAACTACGGATGTTTTAAGTTTAATTTGGTGAAATTATGTCCAGTAGATCAGGAAAGGATGCCTTTTGTAGAGTTTGTTGGCGGATTAACGAAGCGGGTGAGCTAAAACTGAGTGGAAAAGGTCATCTTCTACCGTAGTAAGAAACTGTGCACTGCTAACCAAATGCCCTGTGTATCTCGACGTTTGGTTGCGACGTCCATATAACGAAGTTCGAATGTACAGTAAACCTACCTCATCCTAACCGTGATCTTTCCAATATAATCCTGATGATGTTATCGGCACTTTCAATTTACTTTATTCAAAACCGCAAATATTTTGTTTAGATACAGATGAAGCGATGGTAGAATAAGTCAAGGTTGTTTTAGTACATCTTTCCTATACATACACTTTGATAGGCAGCTTGAATGTTTTCCCATTGCAGTTTGTAATCAGTGTTTTGATTGGTCAAATCAGAAACAGTTATCGTTTTCACCAGTGAAATAATAAATCCCGAATTTTAAAACGGTAATTTTCATCTTTTCACTCGTGATTTGTTTTTTTGCACTAGTGAAAAATATCACTTTTATAGGATGAATAACTTTCAATATTTCAATGGTAAAAATGTAAAAATGTAGGCCTATGGTATTTAACGGTAAACCATTGGTCATCCACGGGCTGTTTTATTTCAGATGTTTTGTATAGTCTTATTTTCAAGTTGTCACAGATTGGAAGTATGCTTTTGGTTGATTTACTTGCAACATACATTATGGTATTCATTTTTTCAGGTAAAAAGATTATATTTACCGTTTTAGTATTACGTATCTATTATTTTTGTCATGTCGTCTAAAAAGATTCTACACAAAATTTCCAACACTTTTCTCACATGAGACGTGTACTGCCAGTCTTTATAGTAAAAAGATAATCTTAAGCTCTCGATGTTAATGCTTTTATTATTGCATAAAGTTCACATACCATATTAGAGTCCAGATTAAACACACACCTTTAAACCGTATACACACAACCGTATCTCGTCGATCCGGTGTTACGTGGAAATGTGACCCCTGTAGAACCGTACTCCGGGTTCAAAATTCAACGTTACACCGAGCTGTATTAACTTAAATCTATGTTCAGTTTTGTTTAGATGACAATTTCCTTCTTAATAAGCCACACAGTCTCCATTTGTAAAATTTTCTCCTGTTGGAATCAGCACCAGGGACTACGCATGCGTGGACAGGTGGTCCACACCTCAACAATCCCGTCGGCACTTTCCGTAATTTTCTCGTTCACGGAAAGTACCGTCGGTTCCCGATTGAATATTGGAAATAACCTATAGTTAGGATACTTTGGAGACTGAACCAGGGATCTGAAACTCTTGTGTGATTTTCAGTTCAGCAATGTCATCTTCGTGCTCGTCGTCACTGACATGTATACCACCGGTCAGTTCCTGATCTGCGGCACTGACCAAACCGGACTGGTCAGCGAGTAGCCGATCGCGCTCACGCTTTTCCTCAGAAGACACGCTGATAGTCCGAACAATTCCAGATTTACTGTCCACGATATTTGGATGTGGTAGATGGGTACACAGATAATCCGTAAGTTTAAATGTATCTATGTACTTTGTGACGTATGAGGGGCAACCACGGGGATCATGTGTACCCTGTTCCACTGGGGGGTTCCAGAATTCGAACTGTGTCTTTGAAAGCGGTTTGTTTTTGTTTAACCTTATTTCTTCCAGCAACCATTCTGTTAATTCCTCATTGAAATAAATCTCGAATAATTTCATATATTTGTCCTTAGAGCGCACGAGTTTCATTTTGGCCACTGTGTTTGGGTGCAGAAATACTTTGATGGCCTTCCAGACACCCTGGAACAAAGGGTTATGGTTGAGACAGATAACAAGTCCGAGGCGTTCCGGGTAAAAGTTAGACATGACTTGTGTGACCCCATAACCAAGCTTCGGGTTACATGCCGTCAGCGTCATACCTAAAAGTACAATAAAGCAATTTTCAATTAATATGAAACTAGTGGTGAAATATCTACCTATTTAAAACAGGATACCTTATTTCAAAGTGGGGATGTCACATGCTTTACGAGTATCTTGCACACAATGGAAAGCATTGCATTCTCTATGGTAATCTCCAGTAATGCTGACTCTACAAGTTACCAGATATATAGCATGTACAACACGCCAAAATTAATCGATAGTATGTCTAAAGAAAAGAAGTTGTCAGATTGCATTAGTTTTAGGCCATCTGCACAAATGACAAAGGGCGTTAATATAAACCAATTATGACTTTTGTTGAGGTGAATATGCGGTTATATAGAACTAAGATAGTTATATTAACGTCAAGGTTAAGCACCTTTTTAGGTCCATATAACCACTTATTATATGACTGGTGCTAATTCCCAGCCCTGATTGGAGGAGCGTCGTCATCTGACGAGTCTGTAAATATGTTACAGACCTCGTTCTATGAATAGAAAGTGTTACAGACCTCGACCTATAAATAGATAAGTGTTACAGACCGCTACTAATAATAGGCCTAGGTAATTTCCCAGTCATCGATTAACAGCTAATTGCAATCAAATCATCTGTTACAGACCTCGTTCTATGAATAGAAAAGTGTTACAGACCTCGACCTATCAATAGAAAAGTGTTACAGACCGCTACTAAAAATAGGCCTAGGTAATTTCCCAGCCATCGATAAACAGCCAATCGCAATCAAATAATCTGTTACAGACCGCGTTCGATGAATAGAAAAGTGTTACAGACCTCGACCTATTAATAGAAAAGTGTTACAGACCGTTACTGAAAATAGGCCTAGGTAATTTCCCAGCCAGTCTGTGATTCTGTTACCAATCACATTACTGAATTCAACTACAAATAAATTATCTCATCAAATTCTGAACTATGTGAATATTGATGATGTCGATTGTGCAAATATTATTTACTTGAAATTAAATACCACGTGAATTGAATCTGAAATTCAATTTTTGTGTATGTTATTTTGTATTTGAAGTCCTTCAGTCTGTGATTCCGGAAATGGTCCATGCCATCCATAATCTCATTGTAAAATGTCATATGATAAAACAATTGTGGATTTCAGTTTCGGTCTATCCCTGATTTACGGACCTGGTCTGAATACTATTCACCTCGGCCGAATATTGTTCAGACCAGGTCCGTAAATCAGGGATAGACCTCACCTGAAGTCCATAATTGTATAATATTCACCGAAATAAAAGTCCTTAATTGTTATATTAGATATAAAACATCTTTTCATTGTTACACTAAAAAGAACGTATGAAAATTTCAAGGAAAAAGGTACTGCGTTCGACAGAGAGCATTGTGATGTTACATTTGTCACAAGTGACATCACCAAGACAATATTGACCTACTGTTTCTGAAAATAGCTATACCGAGTCAATATCACAAATGATCGACCAAACACTTTTTACCACGGACTGTTCCTGACATATTTGTACCCAGCATGTTGTTGATTAAAATATTTATTCTTTTATTCCGTCTTTGCGTATTGCAGAGTAATCTTCTCTTGGGAGCAAGTATTCATTGTTACGTCATTGGTTTGTGTGAGAAAATTACGTCGTTTTCTCAAAAATTGATGACGTTACTCTCCCAAACCAATGACGTAACAATCAATAATTGCTCCAAAGAGAAGATAACTCTGCAATACGCAAAGACGGAATAGCCTCATGCAGTGCCTCTACCATCTCTACGTTAAGCCGTTTTCATTTTACAAAATACATGGATCTAGATAACGTCAATAAAACAAATAATTCTAATTAAATCACGTGACTGTGATTCTATTTCGTGTTGTAAAATACATCTGGTACTTCTATTCATGATTGCACGTGTACACGTATCTAAATATTAGCGGGAACCGCCGGTACTTTCCGGATACGAGAAACAGTTTATGGAAAGTGCCGACGATTCCCGATTTATCTATAAATCAACATGAGCAAATAGACAGGTTTTTGACCATATCAAAGCATAATTTCGATATTCTACCTCTTTAATGCAATAGACAAGAAATTAACCATATAAAAACTGAAACTCAGCGATGGACCGGCAGAAACGGAGCTGAGAAATAATAAAGTCTGTTTATTTAGCAGTGACAGCCTACATCAACTGGATCCCTGTAACGGTCAGACTATGAAGCTACAACAGCTGTTTCTCTACGTTCTGAAGCGACAACATCGATTGTGTGTAAATAATGGCCAACACCTACACAGAGATTGAATTTGTATAAAGGAGATTAATATGTTTTTCTGTTGAAGCTTATGGGATATATATATATATGTAGTCATTCAATTTGGCGTTGTGTCTCTCATCTTCAATGCAGTGCACAATCACAGGGACCTGATAATTTGGTATGTTAGTAAAATTATGTCATCTCTGTTTTCTCAAAAAGATCGCATTTCATTTCGATGTTTCAATTTTTTNTTTTTTAATTTTTTTTTCCTTTTTTTCCTTTTTTTTTTTTTTTTTTTTTTTACATATTTATGAATGTGACGTCGAACTTGGCTGGTAAGTTCTTGTGTCTTACCTCTTCGTCACACAATTGGTGTAAGATTAATTAATGTAATAGACATAAAATGAAGTTGGTTATTTTTTCGATAGAAATCAGGTGCAAACAAATAAATAAATAAAAAGGGAGTACTGAATGTATGTCTGCATATTTTTATATATATGGATTCACAAAACTAGCAAACGAGATTGGAGTTGTTCGCACAATTATGACGTCAGTCAATCCAGTGAATGAGAGAAAACGACACAATGACTGAGGGAGACTTTGACACAACGAAAAGGCGTGTGTTTTATTCGAGCAAACGGATACCATGGCTGTGTAAGGAGACCGCATTTTTTCGTAAAAGTACCGCAAAGTATAGTTATGTTTACCAAAGCTATAGCCATGCCGAAGAAAAACAGTTTCCAGCACCCAGTTACAGTTTTTTTTAGTGGTACGGGGATCCTTAAATCAATTAAATAGGCATAGCCGTTGGCGCTCAACATCTGGAACATGCTTCACCCGAACCTTGGTTCCCAACCAATCTAGTAGTGCCCGTCCCCCGGGTATACTATTTACCTGAGCAATCGATGACCCACACCCACGTGCTGACACCTAACGCCATCGTCCTCTTGGCGTTCTCTATGAGGTAAGTGCAGTGGGTGACAGAGTCTTCTACGGTGTTCTTATGTGTAGAGGCTTGGGCAAAACTCGAGTAGATGACAGGTCGGCCACTCTCGTCAAATCCCACTTGTCTCTGTAAGTGCACGAACGAAATACAGGTTATATAACATTTTATTGTTCATCTACATATATTTTTCGACAGTACCTAGGCCACGATTCTGTACCGGTAGTGACGTCATTGCACTTCTAGTAAATTGTCCAATCGGAAAACCACTCATGCCTTCCTTAGGAACTAAGGCAAACTCCCCAGGGGCACAAGGCGGTGCTTCTAATATCTAAAGGCCAACAGTACGTTTTTTATAGGTATGTAAAATTTGTTCGATCATATACTGTGAATAATAACAATAATAATAATGTTTATTTCAGGAAATGGATCATAGACATCACATGTAACATGACAGTTTACATACATATTACAGTACAGCATACATATATATTACTAAAAATATTAAACAGAATACCACAGGTTTTTGGGGCAGTCCAAGGAGCAGGTGATTGTGCATTCCCTTCCTACAAGCTCTCCGGACGCTCAAATATTAATGAACCTACATGCATTAACATTGTATTATCTTAGAATATTATATTATATATGAACTAAAATTCATAACGGAATAGCATTTTGACTTTAGATATGGGGTTATAACTTTCAACACGCCAATCACAGGGATTCAAATAACAAGAAGAGGAACGGAAGTGACGTCGTTGTAATCATGAGATTTTATTTCCCGTCGGCAAAGAATAGTATTTTGAAAAGTGGTAGTACTAACAGTTGAGACGATATTCAAATGCCTCATACATTTGGTAGTTTTTTCTATTAAACATGTAGACTTGCCATTGAATGAAAAGGCGACTTATATTACTGTACCATTGAATGATAGGGTGATTTAAATATATATATATATACCGTTAAACAACAGACTGACTTACCATTAATTGACGATGGACCTACCATAAAAATGACAATGTGGATTAAAATTGATTGACAGAGCGACTTACCATTGAATGACTGGGCGACTAACTATTGGATTACAGAGTGACTTACCACTGCATGACATGGCGACTAACCATTGAAGGACAGCGTGACTTACCATTGAATGATGTCCTGACCGCTCGTGGCACCAGTGACAGTCCATGTGAAGTGGTTTTGTGCTTCTGCGATGTTCCACTGCGGACTTGAGAAGGACTTCTGCGTTATCCACATTCCATTCACGGGCTTTCAGGAACCGGACTAGCCTGTAAACCCCACAAACATCCTTTTATAGAAAATAAACACATTCAATGAACCAGGGTGAACAAAACATGTGGGTTTTAAGAGTCTTGTGCAAGTGTTTGGGGATCATATTGTCCGTTACATCTAAATGGATATGTCGGGCTTGCGCAAGTCTAGGGACATCCCTAATTTTTGAACTGCTCGATTTGCGCACAACGGTCAACCACTGGCGTTCTCTTCAGATTTTCAGTTTCAAATTTCTTAAATTTCAGTTTTATAAGAATGAAAATATCATAATCACCTACTGACCGGTAAGGCGGGCAAATCGTTTGATTGCAATAAATGTTAAGCCGGTGGAAGCTAGATCTGCATGTTTTACCCGCTAAAGATGGCGGCTTAAGGACGCATAGGTAGTTTTCTAATCCTTCGTTGCAGGTATTACAACCCCTACATGATGTTGGATTCAGTGCTCGATTCAAATATCAGCTGCTTTCATATACTGGCGTAAGCCGGTTCCTTCTATATGTAGTAGACTTTACACAACGAATCGTTACATTGCAACCCATAGACTTGCACAAGACTACGGAAAATCAATGTGTCCTTGCCCTGTCATGACATGACCGAACCAGTTTTATCAGTTCAATTTTTAAAATATCATTCAGATATTGCCGGATATATCATAAGCTTATACGATAACGTTCCCTATCATATGTTTATTGAAATGTACATTGAACTCCTTAACTATGCACACTCATTATTTCCCAATACTTAAATAAATATATTTATGCAAAGTCTACATCTATTATCAAACAATATACGTACGTCTGGTCATTATTGAAGAAGTCCTCCTCATCCTGTAAGGGGGGCACTTCTAGCATCCGTAACCGAAACTCGGCTACCTTCTCCATGCTGAGTACAGGGGTGCGGAGTACAAGTACCCGGATGTACCTCGAGAGGTACAGAGTCTGTCCGTGTACTGGTCTGACGGAGCCACAGGAGCATCCTCTACACGTCAGGAGATCGATCGTTTATCTGAAAAATCGAAAGTTGCATGTTACGTAGAGACGTCCCCGACGCACCGTATGCAAACACAGGGACGCGATAATTTGTTACAGTTGGTACGCTAAGACGCCAACCTATACATATTTAAAAAGGTGACTGAATGCACGAGAAAAACTTTGAAAGATCGAATGAAATCGCGTGTGTTTTCGTTGGAACCGGACATCATTTCTGTAAAAGGGGAATACATTTTTTTCGTGCATAAAGAAAGATTGTAAAAGAAAATGTATCCATCATTTCCATCTTTTTAAAAAAATGTGTCTTTTTATGCGAGGAAGTGAGGTCAGTTGGGGTGGGTTTTTTGACAAAAGTCGGTATAAACCCTTCAAACCTCGAACATTACTCTTTATACACATCAGGATAGGTCCAAACATTCGAACTGCTACAAATTATCGGGACCTTGTGCATACGTTCCCATGCAGTATCACGTGAAACCGGATGTCGACAGTTCGCTATAAGTTTACATTCCCATAGGAACACTTCCATGTCATACAGAACAATGTTGTAAGGTTAGCAGTCTATCGACCTGACCATTGTTTTAGAACGTTGTCTCGATGATGCTCAATTCGCTTTATTAACCAGAATAAAAACTCCATTCATTGAAATGTCGCAACCCCATGTGTTTTATTTGTTAAATGTCGGGTATGACGTTTTGATCGGTGTACGCCCCTTCTGGAATAAACATGTTTAGTGCCGAGATCGACATGAGTTCTGCATTGATGATTGATTGATTGATAGGTTTTACGTCCGCCCCACTACCGTGTATTTCGGTTATCCAGCAGACGAAGAACAGAAAGGAAAATGAGTAGAAGGGATTAAGTATGGAGTAAAAGAGTAGAGGGGGCAGATAGGTTAGAGAAGGGGCCGTCTATCCTATATATATTAACTGTACATAACTGTACAAGTCTAGTTTTTGTAAGACGGCTCCTATGCCTAATAATGCTTTAACCTAACACTCATCGTACAGCATCACCAAGTCAGGACCGGAAGTGGGGTACTGTGCCGCCTTCAGCCACACCAGTCCCTGCCTGTTCTATGAATTTGGTTTGTATATAAAATTTGGAAGTCCATCTAAATGTCTTAATAACGAGACCCTATTTCTAACGATCTAAAGTTTTGGATAAAATTTTCGCTATCCTCTGTGTCGGCGTTTACGCGCCTACTCTTTATCGAAAAACCCAGAGGGATGTTTTTTCCGTGCGAGATTGGACAGTTCTCACACGGGTCACCATTTATAGTCCCATCCGACGGACTGTATATTAGAGGTTAGTGTCATGCATGTGTTGTTTTTTTGTTGTCCGTTCCATGTACTCCTCTCCTCATCATTCGTCACTGAGAATAAACCTGACTATACTTGTACCAATGTCATCTTTCTCATAAAACTCGACTTGTCTTTCACTTATTTCTGCTCATCGTTTCGACATTAATGATTTTTAGTGAATAGTTTGATTATTAGTATGGGTTTAAAGAGGGAAAACGGGGAGGGTGTGTGGAGGGTGGGGGTGGGTGATTAGTGTTATAGTTGTGTTATAACCTGGATGGGGGCTGGAGGGGATGGGGGTTGAAAAGACGTGCTGTGTGTCATGAGATGTGCAGAAGGGTTTATGGGTTTTATAAATTGCTGGGGATGGTTTGTGGGATGGGACCTGATCGCTTTTGTAAGCTCGTTTTTGATTGGTTATGTGTCTAAAGTAGGAGGTGTTTTCTAAGAGTTGGTTCGAGTGAATTTCGATCCCACCTGGTCGGAATTGTGTGTCCAGAAAGTCTTTTTTTATAGATTTCATTAGTCGTAGCTTTCTTACCTCAACCTGAAGTGTTATGTTTTAGGTGTTTTTGAATTTACTATATGTTTATTATCTTTTAAGATTAATTTACTTTGTTTATTATTTGGAGTGATTGGGTATTGTTGTTATTACACTATTCGCTGTGTTAGATAAACAGATATTAATTTATTAGTTCGCTATTTGTTTATCTCGTTATTCCTACCTAACTAATAGGTCCATATAGCACCATTGGCCTCCCTCCTTTACCCGCGCTAACCTTGTAGGGTTTGACGCCGAATGAGCGAGAGGACATAATTTAAGGGTCGTATTATACAGTTTATAGTGGTAACACAGTTCTATCCTATTTTATATCCACCGTTTAAGCTTTGTTCACTCTAAAAACGGCGTACCGCTTCAGATTATACATCGCCCCACGGTGGTACATATATATATATCCATTTGTAGGTACTCATGTATATATATATATGAACGGCTAGACATAAGATTGCTGTGGGGTGGCAGACTCGTTATATGTCTGTAAAGGGATCACGGGATGGCGCAGAGCCAGTTAAACCTGTAATCCCATCGGGAACCCTCGGCGTTTTCAATAAACGAGAAAATGATTCGTTTACGGAAAGTGCCGACTGTTCCCGATTACTTCAAACCCATGGCATGTAGTACACAATATCATCAACAACGCTCATGTCGGCTCCAAGTTTGCCACTATTAGGGTCTGACAGAAATCAATGTTGATATTTAAGATATGGAAGGTGACCCTTTTATAAACAACCGACATTATGGTCTAACTTTTAATCGTTAGCTTTAAATGGATGGTACAGCATATCTGGTTTCTAATGTTATTTTCGGTTTTTGAACTATCAAAATTTACTTCGACAAAATATACTGTAGCCTACGTTTGAGTTTGACCTTAGTGTGAAGCTACAAGCTTGAATGTGCAATCTTCATGTCATATTGTTAGCTATTAAATTTTCATCATTTTGTTTTAGATCATAACGTACAGAATCTTGCCAGCAATATTGAGTCACACACTAGAAAACAACATAATACACTCGTGAGAACTTCACTATACACGAAGTTCTCAGATGAATAGCTATGTATAAAAGTGCGTCTTATTGGGTTAAACTGATCATATGACGGAGAAACAAAACATTGTGTTTCCCTCATGCGCTCGAGTTTCCTCGGTCATAGTTCCAAGAGACTGAAGCAGACGACAACTACGGCGCGTAGGAATGATCATCTATGCTGCTGTGTTCGTGTCATAATACGTTGTACATTGTTATACACGACCCTTTGTTTCCCCGAGATTATTAATGTTTAACAAGAGCCGCAAATATACAACGTTTATGAAGCACCTAACATCTGTACGACGTTTATGAAGCACCTAACATCTGTACATGATTTCTGAAATTACTGTAGAGTTTCTTATTTTAATGTGAGACATAGATCTATTTGATTGTGTTATTCTTATTTTATTTTTTTCGTATTCAACGATTTAATCTCAAAGTCATATGTACTCTGTATGTCTAATAATGACTATCACTTTAAGGTTGATCTATCGATTTTACTAATAATTGATACCACTAGATTGATGTGCGTCTATATCTTTACCCTTGGTAAATTACATATGTAAATATGTCAATTCTAAGATTAAAACCATTATTCTTTTATAAGTGCATCAACGATGATTTAATCCATGAGTATTACAAGAATAAAGATGGGTCCGTATATATGAAACCTTTTTCATGCTCAAACTCAAACTTTGTGCTCATGCCAAGTTTCTTATTCCGCTGATGACGTAAAAAAGTTCACATTTTGTCAAAGATTCGGAAGAATTTTAGAGGGATTTATGGGCGAATACTATTTTCAATATATAGACTTGACTTTTTGACCATAAAACGTTTTATGGAAGTTACAATAAAAATGGCTAAACCACATAATTGCTGCTACACCATGAGAACGGTTTCAGGAATACGGACCATGATTAAAGCTCTATGCTTTGTTTTCCAACATTTTCAATGAAATATCAACTAGAACTTAAAACAGAAGATTTTCCAAATTTTGGTTATTACCTTATTAATGACCGGATTGATTATTCATAATATTTGAAATAAACCTCTTAAAATGTCGAAACGCAAAGCATTTGACGGACGGACTAACGGACGGATAGTAATAGTACGGACTCAAAGACGGATGTCACATCTGGTATGGGCCATTTATTTGCTGAAACTTCTCTTTGGTCAAGAGCAGGGTTTTTTTCTGTCCATATACTAGTATATTGCTATGTATAGAGTAGACTACATACTTTGGAGTGACTTGACATGACAATGAGTAGCCATGACAATGTATTTAGGTCTCAATCTGCTGTACAGTTTATTAAGAAGTATTTACGACAGAAAATTCGATTGATCCAATATACAATATGTATCAAACGTAAACACACAAGTAGCAGCGATATGACTTAACAACATAAAATGCTTATTGAACATTTAAGTTTTGATATAAATCGATGCCTAGTGTAAATAGCTAGAAGACAGCTGCGCCAATGAAACCCTGTGTAGAATCGTGCCCCGCAATTCCTACGTGTATGTAATGTAGATAGCTGCGGACGATATAGCTTTTTATCTTTAAGTTTGGACCGTTCTGTATTCTGATACGCTTCGGTGTCTTTTGTCCTATCAAGACTGCCTATTTTTTCCACAGTTTTTTGCTTTCGCTTTCCTTTTATGTTTTGCTGGGGGTTTAACGTCCTTGCCGAACACCTAAAATGATATAAAGAAAGATGCCTAAAGACACACCGTCGATAAAAAGAGCAGGGCCAAGTGAGAAAAGGGGAGATGGAGATCAAAATAGTTGCAGAGTAGGGCAGCAAATCATAGTTGATTTCTTTAATCTTCCCTAAGCAGAATAAAAACCCTGATCTTGCATTGGTCCCACATTAGTCGCCTCTTGCGAATTACCGTTGGGTATAGTATACCTATTATATCTCCTATACTTCCGGGGATTGTTTGGTTTGGTTTGGTTTGGTGTAACTTCCTATTAACAGCGTGTAATGGTTTGTTATACCAGACGTATACACCCATTGTATAGTTTAATCAACTGACAATCGCTTGTTCTATATAGGAAATATCCCGAGGGGTTCCGATAATATTATTATATTACGCATGGCCAAGTACAATAGATCAAATCGGCTTTAAAAAGATTTCAGCTTGGGGCATCTATAAATTCTGTTGATTGTGAGGGTTAAAATGGAAATGACAATGATTTGTACGTTTCACGCTAAACAATAGTTACCAAACGATCAATTTATCTTTAGTATCAAGTGAAGCTGTCAGGAATAATGAAAGGTTCCTGTTAATTGCCACATTCTAGTTCACGATAGTCCGCCATTACAGCAAGTAAATAATTCTATTAATGGATTTCAAATGTTATAGGGAAATCAAATCAAACGGATATTTGATGCGGACCGAAATAGTCCTAATGACCCCCAAAAAGGTAAACGACGCATTAAATTAAGTAAAATTATTTGTATGCAGTACATGAACACGTGACCGGAAGTAAACGAAAATGGGTCCACCAATATTTTTTGTTGCAGATTTGAGTCGGCATTCTTATCATATTAAATCAAAATCATTTGTTTATTTGTATTGCTGACATGACCTCTTTGCAACAATTAGGGTCAAATGACGACGGTGTTCAATCACTGAAGATGGGGCCATTCCGAGCCATCTTTTTTTTTAAACCGCTACGTACACCAACATGTAATAATTTTGACACGTGATGGCGTGACATCACAGCTGTTGACATTATTCCGACTGCAAGCTACACAGTCAGATGTTCCTAGAGAAACACCACAGTCGGTAACAGGGAGGCACGGTAGCTAGTCTAGTGGTAGGACGCCGGGCTCGTGATCGAAGGGTTGCGGGTTCGAGTCACGGTACGACACTATGTTGTATCTTTGAGCAAGATACTTAACTCCGCTTGTTCCAGTCTACTCATGATCAGTTGTTAATGAGTACGTGGTTTGTCAGTGCTAGAATGGTTGAATGCGAGCTGTGAGCGCCGAAATGGCAGCACCGACTGTATGCTCCCCCAGGGAGTTGAGAAAGCTATCGGCTGGTCATGGTTGCAAATACCCTATAACCGCTTGTGACCTCTTGTCATACACGTAGTGTGTCTAAGTGTAAAGAAAATATCTGATGAAGCATTCACATCTGGCAAAAACCTAAATGTTGTCATTCTAAAATATTCGTTGACTCCACGTACTTTTAATCAAATCATAAGTGTTCGGTTCTTTGTTGCTTTAAAAACTACGTAAAACCTGCCTTTGTATAACAGAATATAAGTGATTTTACTGTGATCGGACATCAGGACACCGAGGCAGATACCGAGTTGCCGACAATAATGGTTTTGTGATATTGTACAAAATATACTGACCTATCTTACATTTATTTGTAGGATAAATTAATTGCAAATGTCACGTACTTGAGACAGATACCAAAACGCAAGTTAACATATCATATACGAAAGTTTGAAACTAAAAAGTTCATGTGTAGTACGATGACGTAAAATAGGTTGAAATGCTGTGAAATCAGATATTTTCGTTGGGCCCAAATTTCGTGATTTTCCTGACATATTTTCGTTGGGCCCAAATTTCGTGATTTCCTGACAAAACCCCATTTTGTGGGTGAAAGAATTCTAGAATTACGAATACCCACTCAAACGGAGAATTGCTTTATATAGAACTTGTAATTACTTCGTCGACCTTTGAAGATTACACACGAAATCAGCAAAATTGAAAACCCCTCGAAAATTAAAGATTTTGCAGTACCAATCACTAATCATCGAGATAAAGATAGAACCATCGTACACATATTCATGTAAACAAGAGTGAAATCTACCTTATTGAGGACAGATGCTGAGAGACACGTAAATATCATTAAATTTTAAGAAAAGATTCAATTAAAATGTATTTGTCATGTGCAATATTTCCTAAAGAGTGATTGTATTTAAGGTATATGCTTCCGTAAACATTATTCCGTCTTTGCGTATTGCAGAGTTATCTTCTCTTGGGAGCAGGTATTGATTGTTACGTCACTTGTTTGTGAGAGTAACGTCATCAATTTTTGAGAAAACGACGTAATTTTCTCACACAAACCAATGACGTAACAATCAATACCTGCCCCAAAGAGAAGATAACTCTGCAATACGCAAAGACGGAATACATGTACAGGTAAAGGAAGTAATAATTCATAACTGCATTGGCGTTATTAAAGCATGTATTCCTTTGTACTATCAAATGTTTCATTAGTAAATTAACTTATTCCCTAATTAGTATCCATAAGACATATTTACCATGTTTCGCAGTGTGGAAATCTTTCGGAAAAAAGCATACCAGTAAGATAGCATACATCCTTAATATCCTTTAAAAATAGGGAAATTCACTTTGTGTATAGTCTTTGTCAACACGTGTGTTTGGTAGATAACTGACAAGCGTGTAATTGAATCAGACTCGGTAGCTTGAAAACCATTAATGTGTATATAATTGAGCCAGTCATTTTAATAAATATGTGTTGCGTAACTTAAATGCCGCGTCAATTAACTTCAGATTACAGGCAGTCGTTTAAATAAGACTCACCATTTATAAGTGCAATTAACATGCTATGACTGCATGTAGTTATTAGAAATTATTGTCGCTATGACAACTGGGCGTTCTATCGGAATATGACCTCGTCCCTATGTGTTCACTGATTCGAATTAAATGTCAGCGAAAACATCGACTCTAACAAACATTCAAGGGAGTCTGAGTCCCCCCCACGGCTCTATACCGAAAACGGATGTATGATATGCCCATCCGAATATAACCTTGAGTTGTTGTGTGATGCATCACACACACACAGGTAATAGACACAACATATCCTATGCCTATATTCTAATATGTAATTAGTAATTACTAATTACATATTAGAATATAGGCATAGGATATGTTGTGTCTATTACCTGTGATCACACAGGGACATGATAATTTGTTACAGCTTTATTTGGACCTAAACTAATAAAGGTGTTCAGAGTTTGTTAAGTCCAAACATAGCTGTAACAAATTCTCAGGTCCCTGTGATGCATCCCAATGACTAAAAAAAATATGATTTGTATAATGAACTCCAAGTACAGTACTAAAACTGTTGCAGGCCTATCTGACGAGTTTGACAGACATTTATCGTAAAAGAAATATAAACCTCCTACACCCGTTTTAATAAACTGAACTTATAGGTAAATATTATTATGGCTAATTCATGTGATGAGTTTTGGGAAACCACTTGGTATAATATCTTATATCTGGCTTGTGAAGAAAAATTAACTGTTAAAACAAAATAGATTTTGTAGCAGTTTTGAAAAACGCCGAAACATATATAGTCAGTTAGAGATCGACGATGCTCTGTCCATACATGCATGTTTCGTCCGATTGTATATGTTTGATCATAAAAAAAATACTTACCGCACGTAGTGTTTGTTCGGTCCCGTGGATAATTTGTCTGTGTGTCACAGGATCTGTCTGTGCGTCCTAGGCCTGCCGATGACCTGTTGTGATTGTATGTACTATACCAGCCAGCCGTGTGGGAGTTTGCCTATCAATACCAGCTGTCGCTTTGAGGTAATTATTGTCCTGTACACTACAGTATCACTCAATACGTGTCCTATTACTGAATACATGTATGTACGTGGTGGCCTGTCACCAAATCACTCGAGTATACTGATACGTGTGTATATTTACAAACATTTACCCACATGTCAGTGTTATTTTCAATAAAAGCACCCTTTTTAATATTTAATGCATCGTAGCTAGCATACCAATGGTATAATTTTTATGCATGTGTGACATTTAATCCGTGACATCTTTTTGCGTTATACAATATTTAAATATCTATTCATTTCACGAAAACAGTCCTGAATATATAGTTCACAACACCCCCAAGCGCATATTATAAACATATATATGGTAGCCGGTTAGCGCCAAGCATCAAATCTCGTAATCTCGCTCTCTCGACGTAAGAACGAGAAAGCAGTAATTAATACGACCGGGTGACACTAACCTCGCTTTCCCACCTACATCATTTGGTCTGTCTCTTGTCGCATTGTCGCTTAAAGGTATGTAGCATTAGAGTACACTCAAGCCGTATCTTGAGGGATCAAGACAACGCGATTTGTTATTAGGTCCTCATCGGTCACCGTACATTCAACAAACATACAGATATGATCTTAAATCTTTAAAATTTCATCTAGGCTCCATCGAGCTATAAAACAAACAACCTCGGGTGCGGTTGTATATATCAAGTCTGAATTAGAATGAAATTTAATTCAATACCTTTTAGTTTCAATTTTACAAGAATGTATGTGTATGTTGCAAAAAAATCTCTCTGACCATTGTCAATTCTTGAGCGTCGCCATTTTGACTTCGTATCTTACTGCCTGCTATTCGGTATCACAATATAGTGACGTCATTTCGTTCTTATTATAACGTCAAAATAGGGAAATGTGCAAAACATATGACATGAATATATATGCACTGCGCAGCTAAGTAATCTAGTCACGCGATGTCGGTGAGTAATAAATATAATCACACCTTTTTACATTTGCACCGCATACTTAAGATAGATTTGGCGGGGTGGCCAAGTGGTTAAGGCGTCTACGATCACTAAGCCCTTTACTATTGGGTCGCGGGTTGGAGGTCAGCTAGGTACTGGTCGCAGGTCGGTGGTTTTTCTTCGGGTACTCCGGTTTTCCTCCCTCACCAAAACCCGGTACGCACTTAAATGACAATTGGAAGAGCGATGTGAAAAATTATCGCCCTACTGCTCTTTTAGTATTTTACGATGGTGGACGTAGCAAAGCAGCTTATACTTTCGTGCAAGGAGAAAACACTTGTGTACAAGATATCTGATAAAATAGGGACCGGTTTGAGTTCATCTTTTGTGAATCTTGTCGGGTGGAAGCTAGACGGACCTTATTTATTTTGAAGGTTGGGTGATGACTATCAAATACTACTAATAATTATAATAAAAATTCGAGGTTCTTATAATGCCGCTTTATTACAACCTAGGTCGTAGGTCTTCTCAAATCGTTTCACAAATTAGTATCCGTGGTTATAGGGCCTCTGGAACAAGCCTATATCTTTTTCAACTCCCTGTGGAGCATACAGACGGTGCTGCCATTTCGACGTTCACAGCTGTCATTCTACAATTCTAGCACTGCCCAACTACGTACTCGTTTACAGCTGAGTAGACTGGAACAAGCGGAGTAAAGTATCATGCTCAACACAGTGCCGTGCCGTGACTCGAACCAGCAACCCTTCGGTCACGAGCCTGGCGTCCTACCACTAGACTACCGTGCCTCCATAATCACTGGATGAATCGTCGTGCCACTTTGGTTAAGCTTCAACAATTTTCTTCACGCTTCAATTTTTCCGGTATAATATAATCTCTTTGTTGTTGTTCGCACACACTCAATTCAATTCATTTATTAACTTTCGGCCTTACGGCCCATCAGTACAAACATATCAATACAATGCATAATATACACAATAACACGGCTCACAATACACAGTGAGAGAGTGGAGTAAATAAATAAGATTTTTAACTTATTAGCTTCAAAAATATATTTACCAAGTTGACATAATTCCTTAGTATTGTTAACACACAATAATTGTATAAATTTAAACATGGATAGCTTTTTCCAATAGTACTTTTTAATAAGGCGACTTCTTAAGTTTTGGTTGGTTTTACATATCAGAATGAAATGGTATTCATCTTCGACTTCTGTAGCCAAATTACAGTTCGTACAATATCTCTGTTCTCGAATAACATTGCGATATCTACCGGTCTCGATTGCTAATGAATGTGCAGACATTCGTAACTTTGTTAGACTAATTCTATAATTCTTAGGAATATATTTGGTTAAATAATACTGAATGGAAAAGTGGTCTACGATACACTTGTATAAAAAAAAACACTTAGAGGAAGTCTCTAGTAAACCTCTTAAATGTTGTTGACCTTGGTCAAAAATTCTTTGACGAATAAGCGGTAAAATTAATTTAACATTAGTCGACGATTGGCTGTGCATGTGTCATTGGTCAACGTCGAGGTCTGTTTAAATTCTGCTTTCCGCTTACGTTGACGCGCGGCCTATTGTTTTCAAATATTAATTATATCCTATTATATTTCCATCTTGTTTTTTGATGTAATGTAAGTGTTCTGTGTTTTTCTCTGTGTCGATAAAGGAGCAGATTGCTCCACAAATATGACAACCTAATATTGCCTACACTGTTTTAATTACTTCCTTGCCCACTATATATGTAGATTTATATATGCACAAATTTGTGCTTAAATAGTGTCAAGAGCAAGGTGTATCCGTGTGGTGTCTGTCGTCTGCTTGGTATATTTACTTTAATTCATACTGTCAGTGTAATTGATATCGCCAACAAGGTCATTGGCGTCAGGTGCGAATAAGTAGAATTTGGCTTCATAATGCAATGTTGTAATCCGCCCGAACGATGTGGTTTGGGAAGTGCAATTGAGTTGATTTGGGAAGAGCTTATCTTGTGTTTTGTGATATAAGCAAGATATCTGACCGTCTGCAGCACAAAGGGGCTAGATACAAATTTGTCAATATTGGATTCAACGGTAAATTGGTTCAATGGTAAAATAAATTTAAAGATCAGAAAACAAAAGTAACGGGTTGGAACCGTACTTTGCAAATACCGAGACTGGAGCGCCACAAGGTTCGATATTAGGACCTCTTATATTTGATTAGTATAAATATCATTGCTAATTATATTGATTGGTTGAGTAAGCTCTGTGCTGACGATACATTTATTAACATTATTGTTAAACTAACCTTGTAGGCAGTTGAGCGACTGAACAATGATTTAGAAAGAAATGCGAGTTAAAGTTTGGTTATTGGGTTTTAATTCACGGATGGATCGAGTGTATGACTATATCAAAGAAACGAAATTATTTTATCAATCTGGGCCTCTATCTTAATAATATCCGCTGAGAAGTCGAGAACTCTCAAAATATTTTGGTGTTACTCTGTTCGGAGAATGTAGCTGAGCCAGACATATTGATGATATCATTAACAAGGCATAGAAGGCGAAGACCGAACTTTAATATGTTACGGGAATACGATTTACCGTCGATAGAAAACGCTTATAGATAGCGTAAAAACCAAGGAGTAAGCGAACAAAATGCTGCCTTATTGGCAAGCTATAGTTTTTTAACGAGGCGAGTTCAGTAACGTCGAGCGGTCATAGTTAGTGGCTAGATGGATGCCCGATTGCGCGTTGCGTTATTATACTTAACTATTTTTAAGATGTGCTTTTGAGATTTTTGTAATCTAAGTGCATGTAATGAATATATAAACAGACTCGAGAAGAGGTAAGAATAGTATGTGATACAACAAAACTTACAAAAATTGGAAAAACTGTATGTAGAAATCGGTTGGAGATATTAAGTGGGAAAAAAGAGGTTACGTAAATTTCAATTACCATTCAAAGTGCTTTATCGTTTCACTTCTGGTTATCTTTCCCAGCTTGCGCCTTCAAGTATTTCTGAAATATATTACTACAATACAAGGCAAGGGAACGATCTTTCAGATGTAATACGTACAACTGAGTTTTTAGAGCGAGTTCTGAATATCTGTGGGATACAGTTGGCGTTTTACATGTGAATAAGATCATGAAATAAATTCCAACTCAAGTTATTCCGTCTTTGCGTATTGCAGAGTTATCTTCTCTTGGGAACAGGTATTGATTGTTACGTCATTGGTTTGTGTGAAAAAAATACGTCGTTTTCTCAAAAATTGATGACGTTACTCTCACAAACAAGTGACGTAACAATCAATCCCTGCTCCCAAGAGAAGATAACTCTGTAATATGCAAAGACGGAATTCCCGGAAAGAGTTTGGTCCTTCCGGAAGATAGGTAGCTGCGCACACACTTGAAGCCGCCCAAAGGCTTGCTGATAGCTTATCCTGCAAAATGTCTTCACAAAAAATCCAACAATATCATACTCTCTATCATCCTCGAAAGTCCAAGGGTTACGCTCACTTATATGTACGTTCTGTGTATGGTTCGAATTAACATTTGTGAGTTACTTATAGTAACTGCAGTACAATCTACCAGATATTTCAGCTCTTTTTAGGATTCTCGTTCCTCAGCCAAAAACTGTAACTTAGTATTGAAATATGATTTTTCAGGCATGACTTTTTCTTTGATAAATCATTTCTGAAAAGAAAAGAAAAGAAATACCCTGCAGGACTTGTATGAGAAGTAACGAAGATCGAAAAAAATAATTTTGTAATCAACAATTGTGTTCTGATTAAAAATGAATATACAACGGGCTAGACCAGCATATGACCATTTGACTTCAAATTGATATACTTTCGCGCTAGGCGATTGAGCTACCTGGTCAATGGAAGTGTCCTGGTCCAATTGTTCTGCCGTTATACTGTATAGGTACGGTAGTCTAGTGGTAGGACGCCGGGCTCGTGACCGAAGGGTTGAGCGTTCTAGTCATGGCATGGCACTGTGTTGTATCTTTGAAGAAGATACTTTACTCCGCTTGTTCCAGTCTACTCAGCTGTAAATGAGTACGTGGTTGGGGAGTGCTAGAGTTGTTGAATGCTAGCTGTTATCGCCGAAATGGCAGCACCGGCTGTATGCTCCCCAGGGAGTTAAGAAAGGTATTGACTTATTGCAAAGGCTCTACCGCTTCGAGACCACCTACGAACTAGGTTGTGATAGAGCGGTATATAAGAACCTCGAATTATTATTATTACTATTATTATACTAAAAATAACAGTGCAGTGGGATAAGGATCCTTAAAGAAGCAGCCTACGAAACACGACCACTTTTAAAAAGCTCAATTGCAGCATTTTCATATAGTATAAGATACAATATGCAGTAAAAGCTCACTTTATGCTGGTTTCCAAATGGTGATATCTCAATATGACTTGGATTGCAATTAAATAGATTTGTCCAATTTGAAATAACACAACGCCATGTGCGGTAAATTGAACATAGTGTTAAGCGTGGGGGCCTTATGCGCCTACTGGCGCGGATAGACTTAAGGTTGTGGTAAGGTAAGACATAGTGTTTAGCGTGGAGGCCTTTTGCGCCTACTGGTGCGGAGAGATTTAAGGTTGTGGTAAGGTAAGACATGGTGTTTAGCGTGGAGTCCTTTTGCGTCTACTGGCGCGAAGAGACTTAAGTTTGTGGTAAGGTAAGACAAGGTGTTTAGCGTGGAGGTCTTTTGCGCCTACTGGCTCGGAGAGACTTAAGGTTGAGGGAAGGGAAGATATAGTGTTTAGCGTGGAGTCCTTTTGCGCCTAATGGCGCGGAGAGACTTAAGGTTGAGGTAAGGTAAGATATAGTGTTTAGCGTGGAGTCCTTTTGCGCCTAGTGGCGCGGAGAGACTTAAGATTGTGGTAAGGTAAGACATAGTGTTTGTATATTTTGGTGAAGTTTGTAATTGTTACTCTGTGCTTTTCCATTAGTTTTATGGTTTCTTTTGTCTTATGACAAGTTGTATGCAATACATCCTTTATGTGAACTATCCATATGAACTATTTGTCGGACTTTTCTGAAGTCGAGATATCTGTCATGTGACCCAGACTTTCCCAGTTTTCTGTATAAATTTCGGAAAATAAAGCAATCGGATGTTTTTAAATGTTCAACTAGAAATGATCGTTCAGGACGAGAGTGGTACAAACATCGAAATGTATGGCTGTGTTAAAGATGAGGTCATTGTGTTTTTCGGGGTATTATCTTATGTCCCCAAACGAAGTGGGGGACTTATGATTTTTGCTGTGTTCCTTTTTCTTCGTTTTTATCTTCTCCTACTTTCGCCTTCTTTTCTTTTTTCTTCCGGGTGTGTTCTCAGAAACTACTGGTCGCATACTTTACCACGGCCGCCTGGCGTCTGATTTATGGACACATTTATGTGTGTTCGTCAAGGCTACGCCAAGTTGCCAACAGTCCTTCTCTTTATCTGATTTTGCTCAAACATATTATGTACATTGGACATGAATTATTATATTGAAAGTTTTATCTGGTGCCTCATTTGCGTCTATGGGAGCAGTTTTGGGGACTTGTGTAACGGTCTCCGTTACAACTTAAGCTTGTTCACAAAGATCTTACAGATACACGTATCTTAGCGAGTTTCTAATCTTCATATAAACAACAGAATACCATCTCAAAATTCGCTGACTGTTGATCAACTTTATGATGGGAGTTACTTCCCGTGTATTGTTTCTGTTGATTGACGTTCAATTGAATTAAATAACTCGCGAAATATACCGGTTGTTCAGTCGTCAGTAATAGCGATACAAACGTATTTCCCATCTGATTTGCCTATGATGTGTATGAAATCTAATAAGCTAGTGAAAATTGCCACGTTTTCTTATGCTACATTCAAAAAAGAGAGCGGAAATCCTTGGCAAGACTTGCCAGCATTTCTTGTGTTTCTCTGTACATTGAATAAATGTTATCATTTTTTGTGTGTGTCATATTATATTAAAATTACTACTTCTATTGAATTAAGATTACGCAAAAAATGCCGATTCGGTATATCCATCGCTATTCAAGTACCTGCATACAGCTGCTGTTGTTGCTGCTTAACCGTTGTTGTCATCAGACAGGTCCATCCATCGTCGAGGGTTTCAACCCCTTTCCTGGAACTCTCTCCGGATGGTGGGTCAGCAGGGGTGATCAGTCCCTACTCTTCGACGGTTGGCTTCCAGCTACTGTCTTCTCCCCGCATCCATAGCCATCGTGATGACCGTTCCGTTTCATTCCCCAACTCTCTCACTGCCGGCTTCCTTACTCCTCCCGTGATACCGAGGGCTCCTAGCATTCTCCAGCATGATTGGGCCGGGAATCCTCTGCAGCCTACTTCCAAAGGAAAGTTCCATGCCTGCCAGTCTTTTCTGCCAAACTCCTCTGTCAGCTCCGCATACTTGCTCTTCTTCCGTTCGTGCGCTGATTCACACCTCGTTTCCCACGGCACAGTCAGTTCCACTATCACCAGTTTCTTCTTGCTGGGTGATAACAACACTATGTCTGGTCGTAGTGTTGTATCCAGGATATCCAGAAAAAACAATTTCCTCCCTCCAAGATCCACACGTATCTCGCAGTCTCCTGCACCTCCAAGAATACCCAGGTTGGTATTCCTTGCTGTTCCCGATGGTGTCTGTCCCTCTCTGTGGAACCGATTGAACGTTGGTCCCTTTTGTATTCCATGTGTTTTCTTCTTCCTTTCCCTCTCAAGTGTGTGAGCAAGTTGCCCTAACACCTGGTTATGTATTCAAGTGTATCGGCCCTGTGCCAGCGCTACATCGCAGGAAGAGAGAAGGTGTTCCAGATTTCCGGGTCTTCCACATTGGTGACATGTGGGATCTTCCACCAATCCCCATCTGTGAAGATTTGTCGGTGTTGGAAGCACATCATACACAGCCCTGAGAATGAACTGTAGCTGCCATGGTGTGTATCTCCAGATTTCTGCCCATGTCATATTCCTCTCTTCCGTCTCCCATCGGGTCCATGCCCTTTGACTTCCCATCTCCACTGCTTGCACCTTCCTTGCTTCCTCTCCCTGTTGCCTGATCTCTCCTTGTTCTTGCTTTCTCCTCTCTGCTGCATTAGCATATTTCCATCTCGCCGACTGCCCTCTTCCTAATCATTGCCTTCCACTGCACACTGTCCTCACAATGTCCTTGTGCCGGAGTCTGCTCTCTGCCTCTGTAACTGCCTTGCTGGCTGACCACTTCCGTCCGGTTTTCACCTCCACTCCTGCTTTCCTGACTTTCTCGTCCCTGGAGTCTTTCAATGTCATGATCAGTCAATTTGGCCTAACTCATTTGACAATATAGAAACTGAGTAGATTGTCCTAGACAATATGAGCGCGTCAACAAAGGAAATGGCGACACAATCGCCCATTGACAATACATTGCTGAATAGAGATTGAATAAATATTCTTCGTCAGCAAGGACGAGTACTTGTTTTAACATTCATCATATTGTTCAACTGAGATATTTGATTCTGTTTCAGATACGTCATACAATTAACCGTATGAGAAAGGTTGTCTGACTGAAATGCAGTTTACGTGGAAGTTATTAAACCAAAATTAATAACAAAGACATTGATTTAGATAGCAAATTTATTATTAAAAAACGATTTCTAAAAATACTATGCGTAAATGATAACGACAGAGGTTTTCTGTTGGAACCTCCCTGATCCGATATCAATATGAAATGTGTCATGTTTTAATCAAAACAGTATTTTTTACCTTAAAACATAAGTTTGTTTAACTAAGGAATACGTGATCTGTTTATTTTGTCATTTTTATCGATGGCAAATTCATTTCCTGCTTCTTCGTAAAATAAGGCTATTTTTAAGTTCATCGATATTGTTTACAAGGAACAATAATGAAGATTGGTCGATTATAAGGTTAAGGGACCCACTGCATCACTTAAAATCGCTAGGATGTGTTCCTCTCAGAGCTTTTTTAGACGATGAAGCAACAAAATGCTTTTTTCCTTGCTCAGGGTGACTTCCCCTGTCAAGTTTTTCAAATGTTTTGTGACCCAGAAATTGGACGCTCATTTTGATTCCAAGGTTGTATAATTTCTATATGGCAACATTGGTTAAGTGTAGCCTTTGCACGATAAAGGTCCCGAGTTCGAGCCTTGCATTTTCTTATTACAATTTTTTTCATTTTCTATTTTCAAAAATTGAAATTTCGAAGAATGAAATTTTGTTAAATGCATGGCAATATATGATATTTATGGAACCTTTCATTTTTAAAAAGGGGATTTACCCAAACTTTCTTAAAAGTGACAATGGTAATACTATGATTGAACGTGTTGGTAACCTTTACCTTTATATACTTTATAACGTCTTTTCATCTAGCTACCAAGTTTTCTGAGCGATTTTTTTTTGTATATGAAATACTTTAATAAATGCTTCAATATTCTTTTTAAAATACGTCAAAATATTGTGCGTCTGTTATTTTCACCGTAATAAATGGAACGCGAAATCAACAAATGTGTTTTCCTTTTCAGTACCTATTTCATTAAAGACATACCGCACAACTAGACTATATTGTTCACAGAACAAAATGATAGCTATCGATCACTTGGTGTCGAATAGAATATTTTATCTATATAGTCATCCTTGAAATTCCATGGGTTACGCTTATTTTCGTTCACTGTACCCCTGGGATATCATGACGAAATTGAAGGCTCGACATTAGCTGTTTAATTGGTTCAGGTAAAAAAAAAAGTGACCATATATGTCCTTTGAAGCTTACAGAGATGCTACACCCGACTTCATAGCCGGTCAGATTTACCGTTATGCTGACGCACGATTGTTTTGAAATACATCAAAGCATCAAACTAGTCTACTTGTCTCATTCACAAGGTGGCTCGTACAGAACCTTCGATTTCGTCATTATGTGTTCCAACAGTGCAGAGAACGCAAGAGAGCAAAACCCATGTTAATTCGAGGATGGCCTATAGTACGAATTTGCATATATACATTTATATATGAATACGAATTTGCTTATATACATATATATATTACTTTCACGGTGACGTGTTATGCTGCCAGTATATACCGTAAATATGAACCTGATTACATTATTTTAATGACAAGTTATTGGAACATTTGATCTTACATATACTTCATTAACGATAATTCAATTAAAAAGAAACTTTCATGACTTTTCACTTGATACTCCAGGGGTTACGATCACTTACTCTCTCTGCAACCCTGGAGCAGGTCATATAAGAATAGAAGGCTCAGTGGGCACCATCTTATGGGAGATGAGAAGACTAGCTTGATCCTTTGACTACTTGAATGGTTTTGAAGTCGGGTATTGCTCCTCTGTAGTCTTCAAAAGAAAGATATCAGCCATGCGATTGGTCATGTGCTTTTTTTTACCCGAGACCAATCAAACAGCTAGCTAGCCGCGTGCTTTCATCTTAGCTATGACATATTCCAGGGGTGCAGAGAGCGATGATGACTCTGTTTCTTTGGCCGTAATGCTAATATTGACATAAATTGGACAGTCAATGACATATGCTTTCGTTTGAATTGTCTCCCTCAGCACATTTTCTGTTTAATAGCATTTAATGAATCAGAAATTCCCGAGGTTATCGATTAATTCAATTAACAAATTCAAAAACAATTTATAAAAAACTATTTTACCAATATCTTGCCGGGGAACTCTTTTGAAATATGACATGCATGTAAATGTAAGATAAGGTGCATCATTAAGATAAAAACAAACCTCAATATTTTAAAGATAGGTTACCTTAGACGATAGGCAATAATATATTATTTAAATCATACAAATCGTTTTGGCCATTTTTTACTTAAGGATTCCTGTCCCACTGCAGATCAAAAAGTAGGTAATTCCATTTTATTAATTTATTAATATTTGTACATGCAGCACATTCCTTTGGATGTAGCTTTACCGTAACTCTTACACAAAGGCACTGTCGCTGTCTAGATACATGCAGCTTAGGTAGTTAAAGCAACAGTATACTTGATTAAACATATAGTTAATGCAAAAAATAGCTATTTTTTTGGTCGGAATCCTTACAGGAGTTCTAATCTTAACATAAATACCACAAGTTTATAGATGCGTCTAAGAATAATAATAACCCATGCTACCTGACTTAATTCAGTCGAACCATTGAATGTAGATCCGTCCTTTACCACACAAAGAAATGGCGTATTGCTGGTAAGGGTATAGCATGCGATATGTTTGAATCATAACATCTTTTTGTTCACATTTTATATACTGTGAAGTCACTGATTTTCGTGGGTTTATTTTAGGTAAAGTTCGTTAATTTCTTGGGTAATCTTCATCAATGAATCCATGCAAAGGTGAACGTTGGAATTTCAAGTTTGATATTAAGCAATTCGCCGTTTGAGTGGTTACTCGTTATCCACGAGCTCATCGGGAAACAACGAAATTTTGGCCCCACGAAAATATCTTATCTCACAGTATCAGTTTGTAACTCATAATAACAAGTAATGTTTTAAAAATTAACGAGAATCAGAGGGAGGCAATCTTTAACGTCATTTAGGCAATTCCCAAAGGCCATTTTTGCTGTTAAACATACAGATGTATTTTATTTTCATAGCATCGTTAATTGATTCCTGCATGCTACTGAAAGGGGGGGGGGGGATTGTAATTAATTAAAATTGAATCCTTTGGAACATAATATCGATGAAGTTTTTACCTTGATTTCTTATCAGGTTGACAACGACACACAGTGATTCTACTGATACATATAAGGATTGCTAATACGCTAATGCGAATAAGAATAATAAAAGCAATCTCAACACATTTCATCAACGACAAAAATCAAAACGAATTGACGTCATACTAAAATGTATGACATATCACTACCTAATGATCACGTCACAATAAAGTCAATTAAATAAATGTAAGCTGCCACCAATACTAGTATTGCTTGGTAATATAACAAAAGGCCGATATATCTAGTCTAGGATATGGAAGTATGAACATTCTACTCGAGGATGTCCGAGTTTTAGCTCTTTGTTCAGGATAGAATCTTCGTGTCCCCAATCATACATGCTAATGTGCTATTTTCTCCCGTTTCTTACTAAGTATTTTGGGTAAATATCTAACATATTTGGAATTTTCAAAGCAGTCTGTAAAAGTATCATTACAAATTTGTTCAATGGTTGGTCATTCTCATAAGGCTTTATCAGTTTCAACAGTGTTTCGGAGGTAAATGTGTTTCCGCATTTTGGAGGTATATATTCTTCCCTCTCACATAAAATTATGATACATTGAAATGACATCATGATATAAAATATCTGCCGACAAGACACCAAACGATCGTTGTGTTACTGATTGATATTGTTAAAATGCAGCCCCCTTAGATGTTCGGGAATCACTAAATTGGATCAATAGAATCCATCGCTCAGAAACATATAAGCCCGAATGTAGTAAGGTTTTCGAATTGCCGATTTCTTAACTATAAAATATTTTTTCCCGAGAGTTGATATTTTTCATTATGCATCACATAGGAGTGTTATTGATCATTGTTCTCACTCAACCCCTTAGTGTTGATTTCATTGATTCCCACCATCGCCAAGGGCGCCTGACAAGTGTGACAAAACCTATGACGAAACCCTGATTACGTTGCAAAAAATAGCACTTAGTAATGACGTTTTCAAAATAAAAGAGCATGTGATCTACCTTTCAAAAGGAAAGTAAACATAGTCTTATTTTTTTTATATAAAACCCCCTTGAATAAATCTGTGACGTTTATGAGAAAAAAGAATTAAATGGATATTTCAAAGTGAACACGAGATTTTTCTAAAGCAGATGAGGAAAAAAGCTAGTGTACGGATATTTGTATTAATCACTAAATGTACGCAATGTAAATACTTTTATAGTAAAGCAGTAGATTTTTCTAAGTCGAACAATTCCTCAGTCTCTTCCTCCTCATCCTCAGCGATTATGACAGATCTGCACAACCCTTCGGATTTCCAGGCCTTCGGGATCTGTTTCTTTTTTAGAATGGGTATTACTGACGCTCGTAATCGCTGAAATATAAGATGAGGAGGTTTATGAAAAACATTTCTAACATTTTTTTTTCACGAGAATATTTACACTACTGAAATAGATTAGGATTAGCAAATATTAACTATTGTATATCATAAATCTTACACAAGGAGTCAATGCTACTTCTAGTGACCATCGTGTCATAACGTAAATTACTTATATTGACCTGGATATTAAAGCTAGTACCCATTGTTTTCCCAGCTTGCCAAGAATTTTCTCTTGTTTTACCTGTTCAGGGTTTCCTCTGTCACAACTTACGGTATGACAAGTAGCACACGGAAATAAATACTATGACGTCATTGCAAAAACGAGCATGACGTCATGACCGGGTTTTTTTCACGGGAAAGTTTATGTGCAAGTCAGGATTAAGAACAGATTATCACAAATGCTGAGAACAATTTTTGTCAAACGTACCGAGTAAATGAATTTATTCCTTGTGGCTAGGGTATGCCAGAGAAATCACTTTCACTGGGATGAAAATCTTGAATGACAAACTCTCCACTTAAAGGGACCCTTTATACGTTTGTACAACTACGACTTTGTCAATTAATACCAATTAACACCCAACGCTGAAAGAAGCAAACTCAGCACTTAAGCCGAATCAGAATCCGTTGATTTGTTTAAGTTAACATCTTACAACTACTCCTTTTGAAACTTAAGGTGAAACTTTTAGTGTTAGTAACAAAATCATGTTGTCGTCGTAGGTTGAAATGAATTTGCATTCAAGCGAACATGACATTGTAAAATCAGATAAAAAAAATCGTCCATTTTATCATCGTATAACACAAGATAACAACGGCAACAGAAAAACCACAAATGACATCAATAATGCGGTGGTGATGAGTTGCACTTTTACCTCAAGTAGAGTTCCTGGAAGCTGCCGAAGCTTTATCACCATGGTGATTGGAATACAGATCATCGACGCCATTGCCATCAGGAGGCCGAAAGCTTCCCCAAGGGGAGGGTACTCGTAGTTACCAACCTTGGCTGACTTAAATGTTGACACTTGGAAAATGAAAATACCCTGAAAAAACATAAATATGATATCTTCCATAAACAAGTGACGTCCAAAATGGTTTGCCAAATGTCAGGGTTACGCAGCTACCTTTGTGATTGGTTTTTATTTGATCGGTTTTACCGTCACGTGACCGCGATATTCTTTTGATGTACATCAAAGGATCAAGTAAGTCTTCTTGTCTCATCAACCAGGTGGCACACACTGACCCTTCTAATTTGCATATGCATATAGCTTGGGTGCGGAGAGCGAAAGTGATCGCAACCCTTGGATATCGAGGATGACGAGAGGTTACCTTGATATCAATGTTAATATTGTACTTTTAAGGATCCCTGTCCCACTGCAATGTCGTTTTCTATATACAGTAACCTCCCCTTAACTTCCGTTTGAATTTAACCGTAGCACAGTTGCGCCAGGAAAATTCCGTTGTCCGGGTCGCGCAATCGGTTAGAGGAATGGTATTACCTAAATAAGTTCAGGGTTCGATTCCAGGTCTAGCCCTGCTTAATGTTTACACTCAGAACGCTGTTAATGATTATTTTTGGTTTATTTCATTTTTATTATTTCATATATAAGTCCCACTAGTTTTGGTTTTCTTTTCAGAAATGATTTATCAAAGCTGTAGTCATGCGTGATAAAAGAGTTTCCAATATTTTGTTACATTTTTTTGGCAGTGGTACTGATATCCTTAATTCATTTCTCAATATCTCATGTTACTGAAATTACTATAACGAAAACTCGATTGAAGCATTAAGTAATATTATTTTCAAGTGCAGACATTAAAAATCCTTTATATAGGTACATTTATATATAAGATCTACTGAAGGTAATGAGAACTCCTTTGAAACTTTAAATGAATGTTCTGGGAGTCAAAAATGGTTTTTTTGGGAAATTATAAGCACAACGTTAGACTTGACGTTTCACGAGTACGAGATAGTAAGGGAAAGTACGAGATAGTACGAGACAGAACTAGACATATCGAGATAGAACGCTCATACATACCGCTGTTACAGCAGGTGTGACAAATTTCAGGCAAATCCACAAAAACATATTGATCCTGTAGCCCAGCATGAGCTCGAGGACATCATAGAACCTATGTGCTCCTGTAATTTTGACAAAAATATTGTATTCCACAATGTTAAGTAAATATGGTTGTGAAAGTCACAAAGATGTCATAAACACAAAAAATATGAATTCTAGTTAAACAATCTTCGACTTCGAATGAAGGGAATAGAAAGCTCTGTTCTGATTGGTCCATATGGAAGATGACGTCAGCGTTATCAAAGTGATATGATGCAATATCTCACCGGCAAAAACAATTGAAATTTATGTACTTACCGAAAATCCATCCTATGGCAATACATTCCCAGAAGCATACCCACAGCATTACCATACCACTGGCCGAATAGTAATCAAACAAGGTGAAGATGTATATACCTCCCTGTAGTGATAGAAAACATGTTTTATACAACAAATAACATTACTCACTTTACGGTTGAACATGACAAAGAGTCAACAATCGATAAAGTAAACTAAATGTAAAGTACTAGAGTGCAATTGGACGAAATGTCTCTATGATTTTTGACAGCTGACTTTACTGATTCGGCACACTGTGGCTTAGAGAGTTGTTTTCAGCGGTTTAGAGTCGGGACACCGGTCATTTACATTGACAGAGGAAACAGACGTTTCCGAAAGCTCGCAAAATAAGTGTTCAATTCTTGTTTGTGTTCAAAACAAAAATAGCCTTTATCATCAATGTATATTAAATTATGTGTTTGACTGGATGAAGGAATATTTACTTCCGTTTTATCTTAAAGACATATCAAACCTTAATTTCAATATATGTATATACATATAAGGTCACGTCAACAATGCAAAATTACATCACGTCTTATGCAACAATTTATATTACTTACCTAACGGCTAAACGTTCATTCGAGTCAACAATTGTTAAATATATATTAGATATATGCATGTCCAATCGGGTGAATTAATATTTGCTTTCCTTTGATCTTAAAGACAAAGGAATTAATTCAATGTAGTATTTCCATTACGTTTCATGAGAAAACGTATTTAGGTCTACGCATAAATTGTTGACGTCATAGTACAAGGACATTTGAAAGTCACGCTGAAATCTTTGCCTGACAGAAGAAAGGGTTATACGTTAATAAGATATTAGGTCACATCAACAATACAAAACGTCGTCACGTCAAGAATGAAAACGACGTAAAGTAAATATAATATTCAATCTGTCATATGATACATTTGTGTACCTATATGTTCAGCTGTTTGGCGGTATGGATATAGTTTTTTTAAGTATCAATGCTCACGTTGCTGTTTGATGAAGCCTACCTTTGTTGTCATTGACAGGCCTATCAGAAAGGCACCTACGCAGTATACTGCTGTGACGGCCATACGGTGCCAAGGTTTGTTAAGGTGCTTTGGAAACATGTCTAAAATCGGAGTGATGACTGCCTCTACATGTACGAACTAAAAAAAGAAAAAAGAGACGCACACTTGATTAAAATCAAGTAAAACATTTATATTCATATTTGATTAATGCTAATCTACAGTCTAACATCCACGACGATTTTAAAGGGAAATTACCGTGTATTATCATCTGATAAATACATGCATCATTTTATCCAAACGGTTTGTTATTCTCTTCAAATAATTTGTCCGTAATTAATCCTAATAGGATGACATATTGACATGATAGTTTTCTGGTGACAAAATACACAAATGTATTCAACTCAGATTCGTATCTGCTGGTGAACCTTACAACCAGTACCTTTTACGTATGGATAGTATTTGGTATTTTCTTCCTTTTTTCAACTATAAATCTGATTTGTAAACAATAAACTGAACGAAGACAATCTGTCATACACATTTGCTTTGCGTTTGCTCATATCTGGAAATGTTAATGTTGTCATACTTGACTTGAACCATGACGCCCTTAATCAATAGGGTTCCCAGCAGAAGATTAATTACTTATAGGAATATGAAGTGAAAATTCAATCCGAATGAACTTAACATAACCAAGAAACAGCAGTACCTGGCTATCAATACCAACGAGGAAGAGCATAAAGAAAAATAGTGCGGACCACAAGTGGGAGAAGGGCATGCTGAGGACTGCCTTCGGGTAGGTGATGAAGGCTAAACCAGCACCTGCAAAAGAAACCAATTGGCATTAAAGGTGGTTAGCAACACACTCAGAACTATCTTCGGTAGGGAATGAAGGCAAACCAAGCGTCTGTAAAAGAAACTAATCGATATTGTAGTTTGTTTGAAGCATGCTCATATCTGTAATTGGTAAGAAATGAAAGCTAACGCAGGGCATGTAAAAGAAAATACTCGATATTGTAGTTGAAGCATACTCAGAACTGCCTTCAATAGAGAATGAAGGCTAACCCAGCGCATGTAAAAATAATGCTCAGCACAACCTTCAGTAGGGTATGAAGCCAAACCCGACGCCTGTAAAAATGTGCGATATTGTAGTTTGTTAGAAGCATACTTGGAACAGTCTTTGGTAGGTAGGAAATAAAAGCTAACGCAGCACATGTAATAGTATTCGGTGTCAAAGTTGGAGGTTGAAGACAAAGACATGTGTTTATCAAGTTCAAGACTCACAGCCAATGTTTGGGCGTATCTTGAAGTTAGGAGTAATTTTAGACGTATTGTTGAAGAGTTAGATCAACCCTTGGAAAAAATGTCACGGCCCCCATACCTACCACACTTCTAATAGATGTTACAAAAATGTTCGATACTGTTGGTAAGAAGTGTCGGTTGTTTAAAATAACATTTGAAAAACGTACTGTCTTGCTATTTGAAAATTCAATTGTTGTATTGGCATTGCCGCCTCCATTGACTTACACAACCTCTATTGCAACTGCACAAGTTGATTTGGCATACATAGCAACAATGGTTATTTGTAATATTTGTTTTATTTTTATTTTTGAGATCTTATTAAACTTGCCTGACGACACAACTTCTGATATATCGACTCCTTGTTCCGTCGCCATAAATCCCAGGATAGAGAAAACAGTAAATCCACCGAGAAGGCTTGTGCCACTATTGATGCACATGATGAAAAAGCAATCCCTGAAACAAAACAAAACAAATGTTACGTTATTATGTCAAATAAACGTTAAAAGTTTTAGTATTTGATTGGTAAAATATAATTAATACTCAATATACTGCTACAAACGTTGATAACTTTTGTCCATAATTCTTATGCATGAATTGTATACATATTCAAATACTTTGAATTTCTGCCGCTTGCAGTTACACTTATAAGACATTGTTATTGTTATATTTCTCTGGTTATACTGTGTCCATATCACTGTATTATCGCAAAAAGGGAATGCTGATATAAATAAACATTATAAAATTTCAAACGGAATTATATATGTGAGATGTGAGTTCAGCTGAACAGATGTACCATACATTCCCTTTGCGATATGAATACCTGTAAAAGTTATTGTCAAACTTCTTGTAGCTTCCGAGTGTAATCATGGCTCCTAGTGCAATTGCGAGGGAGAAAAATATCTGAGTCCCTCCATCGACCCAAACCTGTAAAATGAATCAGTCCTAGAACACACAGCCTCTCAGGGTAACACGGCCTGTAAATTGATCAGATCTTAAACAGCTTACAGAGGCAGATGGACGCACTTTCCTGTGAAAAATACTCAGGTCTCGTTTTAGCGTTTAAGCCATACAGTTGTACGTGGACCAAACTTTTTTCTGCAAAATAAAAAGAACTCTGACCCCCACATGTTGCCAGACAGAACAGGGCGGCAAACCTTCCTGGTGTTAAGTATTCAAATCCCAAAATTCTTTCAGTGGTGGGTCGGTGAATCTTCTATCTGTAAACCAATAGGGGCCCTTATTCATTATAACCGTTCTCATACTCAAGTATAAATTCAGTACTCAAACTAGCTTTCTGCTAACTTGCATAAACCATGTGACACTGTCAAACAGTCTAGACAATGAAAACGGTATTCGGCTATCAGTCTCTCTCCAAGATTCTTCAAAATTATTGACGAAAACGTGGATATTTATTATTTTATCACAAGAAAAAGAAGTCAGACTTGAGCACAGAATCTAAGTTTGAGCATGAAAACGTTTTTATGAATACGGACCTTGAATTCGAACGTTCCCAGCCTTACAGTGATGGAAGGACCATTCTTTCGCGTGCAAAAAAAGGCAAAGAACTGCATGATATCTATAATGCAACAAAGGAAAATAGAAATGTTTTAAACACCGACAGCTTCATCTCAGTTGGCCGTAGAACACCTCCTGCATGCAAAATGTGCGTTTTAAAATAAGTGTGCAAATCTGTGTAGGGCTAAACACGTTAACCCTTATATCAGTGAAATAAGAAGTATGCAAAGAGTCACAATCCCCTGGGGCTAGGCAGGACGAATAATATACCTGTAAAATAATATAACAATTCAAACAGTTATCAAACTGAATAGGACGTACCCTCCAAGAACTAAACTAGCCGGACCTCCTAAACGTTTTGGTAAATTTGCTTGCGAACTCGGACGACTGCATAAAACAGTTATTTTTTCTCAACTGTACGATTATGTGACTTCCGATGATGCAGTTTTGGTTTTAAACACTTCCTTGTTATCATTGTCTGAACCGGACCTGACCTCAATACACTATCATTTTGTTGAAACAATATTTTATTAAATAATACAAAATGTCCATTACATACATACGATTGCATAAGGATTGGAAGACAATTTCAGAGCTTATATTAATAAACATTATGTAATATTAGTAACGCTAGTTATTAATTTTTCAAAACGATAACTCTTTTTACATGGTTAAGCAAACGAAAAAATATATTCGAAAACATGCATTTAATGTAAGAAAACTTCAATGGTATATACCACAAAATACATTTAAGCATTTCTTTAGAAGCAAAACGTTTGGATAATGACTTGTGTGTTCCCTTTTCAGCTATGCACCTGGAACAAGATCTTCACCTGGTAAAAGAATATTGGAAAGATAATCATCCTATTGAAAAGATGCACCTGTCCGTGCGAATGTGGGCGTGTCCGATTCAAACCCCTAGGGACCGAGACGTACCTGGGCCTCGGCGAGCTTGCTGAAGTCCGGTATGAGGAAGTACTTGATGCCGTAGAGAGCCCCGTCCAGGGTGAGACCACGAATCAACAGCGTGATGAGAACCACGTACGGGAATGTGGCGGTGAAATACACAACCTGAAAAACGGTATTCATTTCAATTTTTCTTTATTGAATATTGCATCTGATACAAATTTCAAAAGGAATTGGGCAACAGCCGTAATGCCTATACAAACCCTCTCCTATTGTATGGACTATGTATATTATAATATATTTATTGTGAAATAATTTAAAAGATTTTTCTACATCTAGGACATTTAGGTATAAGATAGATAGATTTCTTTATTTCCTCACGGTAAAGAGATCACAATTATTGTATTAACTAATACACAATATACGAACATATTTCCATGTTAAAAATTAAAGAGAAAAACAGCACAATTCATTTGCTTCTACACTGAATATTTCACATTTAGTTTAATTGTTAGCAACTACTGAGTATTTACCTTTTATATAAACTCATTTAAGAAGCACTCTCACGTGGATAAGTATAAACACCAGATATTTGGTATTTCATTTACGTACAATATATATACACTAATATTATACTATTATTATCCATTACAATCGAATCTTCAACAATGTAAAGAGTTGAACACTTATTTAACACTTAAAAACGACTAATCCTTTAATATCAGTTCTATATCAGTCATAATTTGCTTCAGAAATATGCCGATCATAAAATTCTCCCAGTAATCACCATTCATAACCTGAAAAAAGGTATTACCAAAATAACATCTATATAAGTTGAGAATGTATAATACCTGAATAATTGTACTTTTGATTTGTGTTAGATATATCTCCCTTAATGAGTTATAGTCCATTATGTATACTATATATCTTATTTATGTAAGAGTTAGTATCACCCTAAATGAATTATTCCATCTTGATGTATATTACATCTCTTTTTTTATGTAGCCCTTAATGAATAATGCTTGCTTAATGTTTATTATATAGTTTTGTTTAAGAATGAATTCCCTTAATAAATAATAGTAACCTAACGTATATTTTCATCTCTTATATGTGTTAGAGTTATCTCCCTTAACGAATTGTATATGGTTTTGAATAATCTACCTTTATGAATGAAACTAATCTAATGTATCTTATAAATTTATTTGTGGTAGAGGTTTTTCCCTTAAACAGGTTTACTACTTTTTACATATCATCTGGTCTTATATTTATTTTTTATCATTACACATTGCTATTCAAAACATTTCTAGTGTTGTGTTGCTTCCAAGTTGCGTCATTATGTATATTACATCAGTTTAAGGTACTTTTCGTTAACATCTTCTTGAATTTTGGTTTGTTTAGAATTTTTTTTATCAAAAGATTAATTTTTCAATAAGACAGCTAATAACCGTTATCAAATAGCATCACACACAATACCTCTAAGCATTATATCAATGCATATTGTCACTTTGACATACGGTATACACAATTATTGATTCTGATGTTCTCAACAAGAAACCTATTTTTTTATAAGCATTATAAAGGAACAGTACAAATGACATATTGTTTAAAATAAAATAAAAACTCACTGTTGGATATGTCTAAATCGTTACAACATTATTGCGTTATCGCAAAGTAGATGTTTGTAGACAGCGACATTTTGTATTTGTACATGTATTCATGAAAACAGTATCAGTGTAAGGTATAGATAATAAATGATAAATTCATGTCCTCAATGTCATTCTATTCAAGTATTCTTAAGCTGATTTTATCATGCTGCTAACGATTTACTGATGATTTATATTAATGAAGTTATAGTCTGTCCTCGAAGCTTTTAATGTACTGACCTTGCCCGTCCACTTGATTCCCTTCCAGACACAAAAGTAGACAAACACCCAGACAAAGAGAAGGCACAGAGCCATATCTCGTATAATTCCTCCACTCTCCTCGATACCATCGGACATCTGAAGAACTTTCCGTCTGTACTCAAACAGAAAAGATATCAGCGATTAGAAATTCTTACATGTAAAAGCTCTATTCCCATTATATTTTTATTCTTCATAAAACTCAGTTTATTAGTCATGTAACCGTTTACGACTACCATATCAACCTTTTTATATTTCCCTTTTCGTGTTATGATAAGCACTTTTTTTTCTTTCTTTTTTTCAATCACGTATATTTCCTTCAAATAGCAAAAACATAACCATTTGGAAAAGTAACAGGTAGTACAGTACGGATCATGTAAAACTCATACATCTTACTTGCGGATAATTGACATTCCAGTGGTATCAAATACATTTGTTTCAAATGACTCCATTTTACAAAGAGTGTGGCTTAATACGTAAACTTTCGACCAGAAAGGAAGTGAAAAAAGATAATGATATGCTTATAGAATAACAATGATTTGAGACACTGTCAGTCATTAATGTTTTGCGTAAATGCCTTATTTTTTTGGTTGTTTTTCAAACGCTCTATTCAAGCCATTTTTTTATATTTTTTTTGTCTTCACAGATACATCATGTAAAATATCATAAGAGTATACATATATCACGTAAACATATCCTCTCACATGAGTCACATCTTTGATTTTTTTTCTTTGCTTGGGATGAGTTCTTGAGTTTTTTTTTAACCAAACATTACTTATAACTCAACGTCACATACTGTATACATTTACATCACACCACAAAGACATAAACTATTACAAGGCAATATATATATCCATAGCGATTTTGAATTAATTGATATATCTAAAACATTCTGGTTTGAATTAAATTAAACAAATATTTACGGAACATTGCGATCCTCTGACTTCGTGAAATAACGCAGTAAATATGTATTTCCAGACATGTGACTTACAGTGAGAAGGCATCTTGTATCGCATTACATTACTTACTCCCAGAACTCCACCGAGGGATCCACGGTGGATGTCGTATTGTCTCTGACACAAGCGACAAGGGACATGTTTAATGTGTTATTAAACGTCCCGTTAGTGACGTCACAAGGAATATGTTTTGTAAGACTGCATCTGAAAAACCACGAGGAAGGATTAGTACAATATTAGTATATGAATAAATATATAAACATAACATATATAACAAGACTGTCACAAAAGGTAGGTGATATCTTGCATTCTAATTGCACTTACTAAACAAAACAAGAATTCAATTTTTTTATTTAAATTACATATCTGACAATTATTTTCAGTATGAAGTACTGATATATATATATATATATATATTTAATTGAATAACGTTTTAAGTTTGGAATATATAAGGATTGCACGTTATTTTTCAATGTCCATGCTGATATGAACGCAAATCGGTTACATACACATAGTAAATATGTTTGTAACCAATTTGCATTCATACCGTTATGGGTATTGAAGACCGTAATATAGATATTCCCTTATATTTTCGATATAGAAGGGTGTCGTTAGTTCAAACAAGATTCCCGGAACCGCCCTAACGTCACTGAAATGTTTCCTTCTAATGGTTGTCTCAGGTTATTCAAGTTTAAAGGAGATATTGAAAAATGACACTGATAGACACGCGTTCATAGCTCTATGACAGCAATTTCTTTAGGAAAGGCATTCATTGGAAAAGTAAATATAATCTCAATAACCTTTTAAAGCACTGCACATGAAACGTGCTTTAAACAATTTTTCACTTTCAAATCAAACGGTTATACGTTTTTAATTGGACTCATTCAATACCTGTTGTTCATCACCATCATTGAGATTGCTATATATATATATGATATACACGAATTATATAAAAGTAAACATGGCTTAAGCAAAGTGATTGGTTCAAGGTCACGTTGATACATTTAGCACGCTCCATCATCAACACCCGTCAACATTTACAGAAAGTCGTTCAAGCTTACTGTGAAGATAAATAAGTACAGTGCCTGGGGGAGTTTAAAATGTAGACAGAAAAATAGGCACGGCCACTTGTAAAGGTAATTTCGGTTTACGAAAACACTGATACTGATATACTTATTACGTTTAGGTTCACAAAGACGCAAATATTTATGAAAGGTGCTGCAGGCAAAAATGAAATAGGATAGTGACAGGGCTGAATAATTTAACAAGTGGCGGGGTTAATGTGACACGTGAGTTGAATCAGATATGGGATATCAAAACTAAAAGGAACGGTCTGTAAGAAACATGTATTCAATTTGCTCAACGACCTATATTTAAGCGTAGAACGTAGAAACAGTAAATGTAAACACTTTATGGCTTCGCATTGTCGATCAATTTGAAAGGTCGTGCTTTCGTTAACTTTTCATTCGTGCTTGATTTAGTAAGATGAGTTTCTATCGCGCATTGCATATCCTGCTTATCTGCATTAAATGAATCATTAAGATTACCAGTTCATGTAGCGGTGAGGACAAATATGACCTCGTCTTTTACCTCATTAAATAAAGTCAATGTATAATGAACTTTTGTATAATGCTTTTTTATCACATAGGTTTCGTGAATATGTTCGTGGTATTTGGTCAAATGTTATTAGAGATACATAATATCCAAATATATCATAATGCCAAGAATAATTATGATAATAATTCGAGGTTCTTTTATACCGCCTTATCACAACCTAGTTCGTAGGTCGTCTCAAAGCGATTCACAAATTATTATCCGTGGTTATAGGGCCTTTGCAACCAGACAATACCTTCCTCAACTCCCTGGGGAGCATACAGCCGGAGCTGCCATTTCGGCGCTAACAGCTAGCATTCAACAGTTCAAGCTCTGCCCTACCACGTACTCATTTACAGCTGAGTAGACTGGAACAAGTGGAGTAAAGTATCTTGCTCAAAGATACAACACAGTGCCGTGCCGTGACTCGAACACGCAAACCTTCGGTCACGAGCCCGGCGTCCTACCACTCGACTGCCGTGTCTCCATAATAGGTAAAGAATTAGACATGGAAGCGTGAAATGTCATCAAAATAATATGCGTTACTTCTAATGGTATAAATGTTGATATTGCATTTACGCTATATTGACATAAAATATTGGCAAAGCGATATAAAATAATTTTGGTATTTCTCTAAAATTTTAACTGAAATTCATATATAGATTTATAAACATACAACTTATATTATTCACTCTTGTTGCCCCGGATGTTAGCGCTCGGGGTACTAAGTGTGGGAGGAAATCGGAGTACCCGGCAGAAACCCACGTGGACGGAAAGGTAATCCAATCCTCATCACGAATTCATTAAATTCACATATCTTACCTGGGAGTGTTCCAAGGATTGTCACAGTGTGACCAGGGTAGCACGGTCTGGAAACTCATGACGAAGTAATAACAACCCCAGGCTAGTACGACAATGTAATACACGTTCACCAGCACCATCATCACCAGGTTTGCCACCCCTATACCTGTAGAAAATAAATATCTATCGTATACCGGGAAACGTACGCAGCAATTCGAAATTCGCCCTATGCGACGAGGGCGAAATCATGAAGACGGCGAATAGCAGAACAAAGCTTATCATGTTTATTTACCAGTATCAACATCACCAGGTATGCTACCCCTATACATGTGCAAAAAGAAATATATATCGTAAACCGGGAATGATAGCAGGATTTTTATCATTTCGCCCTATGCAATAAGAACGAAATTATAAAGACGGCGAAATTAATACACAGCCTATTATGCTAATATGACCATGGAAGGGCGAAATTAACGCAGGTATAAAACGGAATATTTCTATAGGCGAAATTTCATGTGGTGGAAAAAAGTAATATTCCCAGGATAACGTCTTTATGCCAAGAATAGGTCCAGAGTATAATAGCATACTGACAAGCTCACTGGGTACAATATATTTAAAAATAAAATATCTTCAATAAATAAGAACGTAGACAAGACTAATATCAACAATACTTCTATTATGTCCAAGGCAATGGATAGTCAATCTATAAACAGCATAATATACATCTATTTGGAATTGCCAACAGAAAAACCCGCTTTTAATTTGTAGCTGATATCTGAAATGAATTAACAGTAGGATATAATAAGAAAATATACATACATATTGCATTGTGAATGTGCATGTTTTCTGTGTCAAGATTTTGTTTATGACGTCACTATGATTGTTTATTAAAGACGTCACTACAACTGTTCCCTGCGCAACTATTGATAACGTCTTGTAACTAACGGTGACTATTAAACACCAGTCGGCCTGAAGAGGCCAAAAGAAAGCAGAAATGCCTACCAATCAGTTTTGTTTATTTGTTGTTTTATATTTCATGTATATGTATATATACATAACAGTTACTTTAGTTGTCTGCTACAGATCGAGTGTACGCTTACCTTGGAATAAAGGACATATATTCCATGCTCCCGTTCCACTTTTACTCATAAACTGGCCAAGACCTATTTCTAAAATCAGGACAGGTGCGGCTCCAAATACCAAAAATAGTAGATAAGGAACCAGGAATGCGCCTGCAATGAAAAAAAGTTATGTAAGTTCAAATGTTAAATACAGAGCTATCTTTTCAGGTTTTGTTTTTTATTATTTTTCTCCAGAATCTTTTTGAGGAATACAAGAATTGGTAATTTGATTCGTCCCTCTTACAGCATAGAACCTCGCACAGGAGATCTCAAGATGAAGGGAAAATCCCTTACTTTTCAGTTGGTAATGTTCGCGGGGGTTTTAATTTCGCTTTTTGGCAGTCATTTAGATAGCGTGAAATTAAAAACCCAATGCAGAATTATTACCATGAATATACAGAAATAAAAGAAAAAAAGACCGAAACACAAAAGTACCTTCTTGATCACGATATTTTTTACCTGGCAATTATGCGCGAAATTGAAACCCTGCTACCTGATTATGATTGGAATATTCGCGAAAAATTAGACCCCCGAAACAACAATACAGTATTTTATTGCTTATGTCTCCCAGGTAAAATACAAAACTCTTACAGAGATGAAATTATAATTATGTTTTTAAACGTTCAAAAACTGTCATAGTAATTGTCGTATTACACTATGTTTACTGGTAACTACATGTAATAGAATGTCAGACACTAATATACCAGGTAAAAATATACTGTGAAATCAGATGTTTTCGCGAGGCCATAATTTCCTAGTTTCTCGAAAAACAACATTTCGTGAGTACATGAAATGGTAGTGTGCCCACTCAAACAGAGAATAGCTTTATATTAAACTAGTAATTACTTCGTTGACCTACCAATTCGTGGGTGAAAATTACCCATGAAATCAACGAAATTAAAAAAAAACCACGAAAACTAGCGATGTCACAGTACTGTTTCATTCGCTTCATTTTTAAGATTTTGTATAGATATTTTTTGCTTTAAATATATTTTTAGAGATTATTTTAGGTGACAAGGTGGTTGAATCTACTTGTAGACTATAAGTCCCTTTGGTTGGACGTATCTTTGTACATGTAGCTGGAAGTTACTATAGCATTATCAACCTTAGTATTAAGAATAAAGCAACAGCTTACGGTAATCACTCAAATGACGTGACGTCACAATTTATCTATCAACCTTAGTTTCATGTGTGAAGCAACATATTAAGCTTATGGTAATCATCACGTGACGTGACATCACAATTTATCTATTAACCTTAGTATTATGAATGAAGTAAAATATTGAGTTTATGACAATCACACACATGACGTGACGTCACAATTTATTTGTTAACCTTAGTGTCATGTGTGCAGCAACATATTGAGCTTACGGTAATCACTCACGTGACATGAAATCGTGACGTGACGTCACAGTTTATTAAGTTACCTTAGTATTGTGAATGAAGTAATAAATTGAGATAATTGCAATCATCACATGACGTGACGTCACAGTTTATTTGTTTACCTTAGTGTCATGGGTGAAGCAACATATCGAGCTTACGATAGTCAATAACCACGTTGAATTAAGCACAGCTACCAGCTGAAAGTCGTTGATAATAATGGCTCATTAATTCACTCCAATGGAAATCGATTTTGAGTTGCCGGTTAATCTCTATGAATCTCTATACATTTCTTCATCCCACAAAGGTGAACGGGACATACAATACCTAGGATTATTTCTGCTTACAGTTTCCTTTGGAGCTGCTATTTTCTGATAAGGTGGTATCACATTGTTTGCTTTCAGCGAACATTAGTAAATCAATATACATCCATCGATTCGTAGGTTTCAACAAAGCAATAATTATAGTGCAGACTATAGATATTAATTGGTTGACGAATGAAGGAGTCAAATACATTTTTATGATAAAAGGAAATATCACGAACCCATGTAGATCTTACTTTCAACTGCCTATAATTTATATTGCTTGGTTAAGGCAAAGAGTGTCTTTTAAAAGTAGTTTCCCAGGGAAGAGCTGTTTTGTGCCTTTGACTATCAACCAAAGAAGTCATGTCCATGTCCCAAATTCGAGATGTAACGATTTTGACGATATTCCTTAAATTCCACACAAATTATACCTATATGTCATGGTCTATTATCAACGAATTTAAACACAGCTATCTAGTACTGGATACTACACAGGTTGAGTCCCTGTCACGTATACCCTCTGATTAAGCCCCTAAACTTTCTCGCATTGCATGATTGTATGATTGGACTTATCATGAAGCCCTTTGTATGATTATGGGTTTTTCTTGCAGTTTTTCCCCCTCATAAGGTGACATTTTAAAGACTACATTTGCTATTTTGTTCTTTACGCAAAACAATTAATTCATTAACCGTTTGTGTTATAGCGCGGCGTCCGTATTCCGTTTCCCGTTCAATGTTTAATGTTTCCCTTCAAACGACCAAGAGATCTGCAGCCATTGCTATAAAAATGCGCAAGACCTATCCATTTCTTTCAAATAAATGACATTGATTTGCATTCCATGTCATACAGGTCAAACGTATTTAATAGATACAAATGTATTTCCTTGACCTATATTCACTGCACATGGATCGGTTAATCTTTAGGCCTAGAAAAATGCTTTTAGGATGCATTTTACTTCATACAATAAGGTCAACTGTCCTTTGATTGGCTGAACCAATCACATATTCAGATTCTACTTGACCAATTTTATGAGATTAATACAAACGGGTATACTTTAAAAGTGTACGACCGACTTTATAGATTTGAAATCTAAGATGGCAGCCATGACCAGCGATTGGCTGGGTATCAACGGTTATGGCTTGACTACCATATATGTTAACTTTGCTTTAAACACAGAATAAGACACAAGGAGTGGGTTTATTTTACATCAATCAATTAAGTTCAGGTAACGAACATGGCCACCACGTTTCTTTGGTGACCTGATGCTTTTATGCCCAGTCAGTGCGTAAAGCGAATTCGAATGCCAGTATTTACATATCCCCATGTGCCACTGCGAAATGGCTAAGAGGATATGTGTAACATGTACTGTTACAGTAATGATAGATTCTTAAGTTGGCTAAAGAAATCAATGACACACTAACATGTGTTTGTTCTTATTCATGTCAAGGTGCTTTAGTTTGTGAATTACATAAGAGATATGACCACAACTAAAACTGAGGTGTTTAAATTATTTCAACTATGCATACATGAATAATATTTTCTCAGAATAAAAGCTTCTGTCCTTCATAGAATCAAATTTTCACATTGTGTGTGAATTCAGATGACACAACTATCCGTGATTGTCAATAAATGCAAAGGCAGATGTAAACTACTTTATATAAATATGTGTTCAGACATGATTTCGTTCCAGTTACCTTGAACTTTTGAAAAACAAATAAATACAGATTTTCAAATACAATTATAATATATATATCAAAGGTTGTGCGTGTATCAAAAATGTGTTTCTTGCATTAAATACAATGGATTGGTTTACTTAGTAGCAGAATCTCATACATAAGTCAATTTTACCACTGCATTACTTAAAATTGAGAAGGCTTGTTTTTCTTAAGAGTTGTTTTCGCATAGTCTTATTATGCTCATTTAAATACAAAAAATAAGGTAACACAAACAATCTCTCTGACTTAGAGTTACTTCCCTTGCAAAGGTGTCCATTTCTCATTTTCATGCTGCGCATTTATAAGTCTGATAGCAACATTGGCAAAGCGTAGGATTGGCAGTGTATTATACATCTAGTTTGTCCCCTGCAGTTCTTGTTTTACTTTTCATTTTTTGACCACAATACTCAAATTTCAAACAGTTGTTATTGCTTATCCTCTGTAAAATGAACGCTTTAAGTTATTTCTTATGAAATACTTATATAGAGATTGACTTTAGAAACAAATATTTCCAAATAGTGACAATGTTATGAATATATTGGACTTTATGGTACAGTTACTTTTTGCTGATTATACAATTACCATGACTTACAGCAAATATATCAGATCACAAAATAATACCCTTGAATGATAAATTCCCAAAATATTGCTAAATACATCAGCAATTGTGTATGTTTTCACTATCAATTGATTGTACTAAAAAAATCATGTTATTGATAGCCCATTCAGTCAAACGCCGAAAGCCTATTAAATGTTTAAATGATACAAATATGCATAAAAATCAGAACTTTAATATTCAACATAAAATAAAGTCGAATAATTCGGGTAAAGTTTTAATTAATCATCCTCTCACGCAGTACGGAATAGAACGCATTATCAACGTTTCGACAAACTATCTCTTTTCTAATATAGAAAAATACAAAATATTTGAGATAATTATGTATGATGTATTGGAACGAAATGTGATTGATCTCAAACAGATAAGGAGGGATTAGATTAGACTGTTGAAATGCCAAGGTTTCCTCCGCTTGAGATGGTTCAGTTGGAGGTCGCCAAAATATAAAACAATGAAATAAAAATAGAATCACCTAATGTTGAAGATAAGTTGTAGGGTCTGAGGTATAAAATTATCATTTCATTTAATCTATTATATCTTTTTTTTTTCATTTTATATCATTATTTTATCTTTGTAATTAACAACGACATAATTTCCAATGCCAATATTTCAAACATTTCATTTTTTATAAAAATAATAATAATAAAAAAGATAAGAGTCATCAAAACCAATTTCAACTGACGCAACGTGCTTGGACTTTGTGCAGAGCAACTGCATCTTAGCTATCGTAAGTTATCTAAACATTCCTCTTAGTTATCTCTTAAATAGTTCAAAACCTCTACAAGTTTCATACACTTAAGTCGCTGCAGGGTTAGAGAAAGAGTCTACCTGCTGTTTTCCACTACATGTTATCCAAAGAGGCGACTAATATGGGGCACACTGAAGATTCGGACCAAAATTGATCTGATGTCCTCCTTGCAGCACTTCGGTTTTACATCTTTTCTTGTATCATTTCCCACCCTTTTATTCGGCTGTGTCTTCTTTTCCACCCATTGTCATATGATCTTAGCTGTTAAAAGGACGTTAAACCTCCAGCAAATCATTTCAAACACAACAGTTTGCTATTTTTATCAGAAATTAATCATATTTGATAT